ATATTTGCCTATTTAAAAAATATATATTCCTATAAATTCAAATCATTCAGTTTTATACTATATCCGTATTGTAGCACATTTTTAGACAACTTCTCTAATTTTTTTTTTAATTTGAAGAAGGTTGTAATTTATTTTTATATTGAGTAAAAATGACTTTTGAATAGTGTAGTTTAAAATTCGAGAATAAAATATTTTTTGGAAATTATAGATTTTTGTGTCTGGAAATGCTCTATCCTTTATTAATCTTTTATAATTAGTGTTAGTAAACGAAGTCTAGAGACTGACCTCGCCAAAATTATCATCGATTGTCGATCATTTTTTGTTTAACAAATACTAATATATCTATTTTTCTTAGCAAAGATATTCTAGTATCGAATACTGAATACTTTAGTAGAACACCTCGTTTTAATTGGTAAATGTAGGTCAATTCCTTGTCTAAGTCGTACATTACAATCTAGGCATATTACGATAAAACCACCATGTAGTAGGTACCTACATATACGGAATAAAAACCTATTTTGTTGCAGACGTAGCTAATTTAGCAATACCATCGCTCCCAAAGGCGATGATAAACATAAAAATTCTTTATCGTCTCTTCTGCGTATATGCAATAGGGAAGAATTATTTAGAAATTTACAATTACATATTTTATTGTGTATACATATTTAAAAGCCGTTCGTTTAAAATAATGAAGCATTGATGATTAAAGCTATCTTGAAAATGTTTTACTTAAATATTCTATTTACTGATAACGCTTTGTTTTAATTTTGCGATTTTTACACTTTTTATGGCTCCACGTTGGGCGCCAAATTATAACGTTTTTTTTATAATAATTACTTTTAGGGGACGATCTAAATATAATTAAGTACTAAAACCTGTTGTACTGCATAATTTTTCTGTGTTACAAACAACATTAAAACATATTTGTTTTATGAGATTTATATTGTTATTACAATTTTCCGGGAGGCGTTGACTAGTAGAAAGGAGGGCATCACCATTAATGGGCAGCTCTTAATTAATAATATGCGGTTCGCAGACGATACCGTCCTTATAGCAGATAACGTGGAGGGTCTGCAAACACTTCTACAAAGGCTAAACAACATGTGTAGAGTCTATGGCCTGAAAATGAACCTTAAGAAAACTAAATTTATGATAATCACTAAGAGAGAAGATGTCCAAGCCAATGTTCTAATAGATGATATATACACCTATGGAGAGAGTACAAAATATAAATATCTAGGCAGTTGGTTGGCCGAAAACTTGGACCAATCAGCAGAAATCAAAGCTCGAATAGAAATAGCCAGAGCATCCTTTGTAAAACTCAAAAAATATCTCTGCAGTGGAGACATCAACTTAAAGCTTAGATTAAGAATGCTAAGGGGGTTACATATTTGCAACTCTACTCTATGGTTCAGAGGCTTGGACACTTAAAAAGGCCGAAATGGAGAAGTTTGAGGCATTCGAAAGATGGTGTTATCGGCGTATGCTGAGGATTGCATGGACTGACAAGGTTACAAATGTAGAACTGCGACGCAAAATTCAGAAGGACGAAGAGGTGATTAACACCCTTAAAAAGAGAAAACTTGAGTACTTTGGACACATAATGAGAGGACCTAAATATGCCCTGCTGCAGAACATAATAGAAGGAAAGATAAAGGGCAGAAGGAGCCAAGGAAGAAGAAGAACATCATGGCTCAAGAATTTGAGAGAATGGATTGGAATGACTTCAAACCAGTTATTCAGAGCAGATGATTTCCAACCTCCATTAGGAGATGGAACCCGAAGAAGAAGATATTGTTATTATTTTGGATTATGACTTATTTTACTGTTAAACGAAATAACCAAACTGAATTACATTAAATACTAACCAACGTGATATAGGGAAAGGAAAAGCAGACTGTCTACTGGATAAATAAACAAGGGCACAGGCATACCAAAGTCTTCATCCAAGAACATTTTTCTAAAACTAGAAAGGAACTTCTAATCCTCAGCAGGAATAAATTGTGAATTACTGAAGAAACTCAACCTGTATCAAGAAATTCTTTGCTGCAGACGCGGCGATAAGGATCCTGAAACAGTAGAGCACATAATATATAACTTTTTTTCCATGTTCCTATCTATAAAACATTCACTTGGAAAATTTTTAGTCCAATTCTGTAAATACCTCCATAACCTATTATATTTATTTCTCTATGTGCATTTTTCACTAAAAATATTGCAATTTGCCTAACCTATACCGGAGTGGTTACCATTAACTATAATTTATCATTTGTAATACAGGGTATTTACAGATTTCAATTTCTAAACAAAATTACAGTTATATAAATTCCAATATATCAAAAAAGAAAGAACACCAACAAATAAAATAGTTAAAATCCAAAGTGAAAAATAACAATACGAAACAAAACTAAAACCGACATTACAACATGGCAAATTGCTACTACATAAGATATTACTCAAGCGCGAATTTGTTCGAATAACGCACACACCAAACTATACAAACACGGGCCGGTCGGTGGTACCACCTTTATTACGTAAAGTAGTACCCAAAGAGTACTCTTAACTCTCACTTTCAACTTTGACTTGTGTGCCGAGAAATGAACGCGCTCAGATTGGCTTTCTTCGAATTTCTTGTTTGGACTCCGTCTGGGTTCGGAACCACTGCATGGTTTGGTTGTTACGAGTAGATACCTATGTCATAGTGAGGATTTCATATATGTATGGATAGTTCTAGATTAGTATTTGAATGTGTGCTGTAAATTATGTTACACTTAAATCGTCTGATTATTTAAATATACAGGGTGGTTCGAATTCGACGCTCATCATTGGGATTTCGGAAACCGTAAGAGATACAGGATCGGTTAAATGGAGGCAAAGTTGCGCAATTTGATGCTCAATAAAATGCCGTATTGCATTTTTATTTTAAATGACTATATATAGTGTTTTAAGAGCGATGAAAGAATTTAATTAAATTGAAAAATCAGGTCCGTATTTAAAAAAAATAAGTTGATGATGGTCGCCGGAAGCCGAAACGTCAGAGTCAATATTTAATCACACGGAGTTATAGAGCAGAAATAGTGGCCATGAAAATGTGTTTTTTATTTTAAGTTATCTTAACAAATAAAGCCAGGAAACAATAGAAACCAAAATTGAAAATTCCGGTTTTTTTTCGAATATATTCGGAAGCATTCGGAATTTTTCAAAATGCAATACGGCATTTTATTGAGCATCAAATTGCACAACTTTGCCTTCATTTAACCGATCCTGTATCTCTTACGGTTTCCGAAATTCCCATGGCGAGCGTCGAATTCGAGCCACCCTGTACACTAACGATTTTCTAATGTTTTTAGTTTTTTCTAATGATCATTTTTTTTACTACTCTGATTGGCTATCCTACAAGAAATATTAGATATTTACTCTGGATTGTCTGTACTTATTTTACTATAAATATTGTAATCGTAAAATTCTAAGCCAAACTTTTTCTTATATTGTATCATGAGAGCTACAGATGCCCGACGCACTATTGCCGAACCCTGTATTTAGATACGATTGTATCAAAATGCTGCCTTAAAAATCTACAGAATGTTTATGAATTACGGGCAGGGAAACGACTTAAAAACGTTATGTAATATTAATATAATGAATGGAATCGACCGTTTGGGTGACAAATTTTTCGTTATCTCACACAGAAATGAAAGTTGGCCTGCCTGGCAGGTGTTTAAATTAAAATAATATACACCGCGATTTCATGAATATGGAAAAAATCTTTAAAATCGTCTCGTTTTTGTTGTTATTGAAGATCTGAAATGTATTGTACTAGAGATTGAATGTAATAGCCTAAAGGAGAACAAAAAAAAATAAAGGAACAATACTGAATGCATTGTTACAATTGAATTGCTCGCATTTTCTTATTTTTGCCGGCATCTCGAGCATAGAAAGTCACCAAGAAGGAGAAAGCTGGGTGGTAAAGATCAGTTAAGAAATACTTTAAGACGTTTTGATACACTGTGTGATTATAACGAAATGAATTTATGTTATTTTGAAATTGCCATTTCACTAGTACGAAAAAGTAGCAAAATAAGCGTTCGACTAGGTATTTTTAGACAAATGAAGAAGGAAATTAAAGATAAAGGATTATACTATATCCGTATTGTACCATATTTTTAGACAACTTCAAGATTTTGATGGTCAAACATCAACGAAATATTCCTTATGTTTGGACTAAATTTTCTCGAAAATGAAGATATAATTTAAAATTCCGTTACAATACGGAAACAGATTGAAGTTTTGTGATTACAATGATATATAATTTATATGGTTTTGAAACAAATTGCTCGCTATTTTATCGCCAATGCTGAAGCTCTGCAAACCTTCATCAGCCTTAACCAAAGCACGTGTGTTTGCATAGGAAAAAAAATCGTTAAAATAACCATTTTTCTAGATATTACGATATTACCATCATTGATATTTTAAAAAAGACTTCATATATAATATTTTTTGATCTAAGTAATAAATCACAACAAATAATCTAGATAAATTGATCCGGTTTAATGAGAAATACTTCGAAAGGCGGTACTTTATTTTGCATAACCACGCCACGTTTTTTAATTGATGGTACTAATTCGCTACTAATGCTAATGTCGGTGAGTTTCGTAAAAGATCAAGATCATCTCTCTGCATGATCCAATTACCAAGGCCACAGATGCTATAAGAGAAACAGCAAATGAAATCGTAAGAAAAATGATTCCCACGATTTGACCAGGTACTGATGCCCTGATCCTGTTAGATGAAATACGAAAGTTGAAGGCTACACATCTCCTGTGTTTTCTATCATTGTTTCTACAAAAACAATAGAAATAAAAAAAATATATTTTTATTGTTTTTGCCAGACGAGTCTTTATAATATAATATTTTTTATATTGTTAGGAACTTATAAGTTGTTTCAACATTCTCTTGTTGAAATTATCCAACTATAATAATCATTTAATTATTTGTTTCAGATTTGGTAGCAGGTCAAAAATTAAAGGGCAACCAAGAAGATCCCTGCCAAGTCAAAGCTAGAGTTATAGGAGATGAAACATATTGTGACAGGTATTGCATTTTCAAAATATTACTTAAAAAATATTATTGCTCATAAAATATGATATTTTATTTATTTATTTAGGTATTGGGAATGTGTCGACGGTCAGCCTGAATTATACGATTGTCCCAATGGATTAGTCTTTGCAGGGAAAAACAGAGGTGTAACGGAAGGCTGCGACTATCCATGGAGGTCAAATTATTGTGAAGGAAAACAACAAGCCAGTGAGTACATTGTCACTTTATCAGTATATTTGTCAGTCTGATTCTTCTTTATCAATTTATTCGTTTATTTTCTTTGAATAAAAAGATTGAGGAAAGAGTATAATGCTCTATCCATGTATTCATGTATCATATAGAGACCGAATCGACTGTCGAGTCAGCTTTGTTAAAAACAAAAATGTTTAATCAAGGAGCCTTGAAAAAATAAATTTGATCGTCTAATGTTTTTCACGTCTTGTATTAGCCGGTTAAAAGATGCCCAAATCGTATTTTTAATCATATCTCAACCTCTTCAAATGGAACAAGGGTAGCACATTAGCATATTTGGAAAAAGCATTTTTTACGAATAATTTGGTACCACACACTTGGTATTTCGAGTAAAATTGTTCTTATGCACCGCATGCTAAAATTTCAAATAAACCATATCCGAAAATGTCAAAATGTGACATATGTTATGTCATTCTATTCAGAGTGTCATTTTCTATGAATAAAATAAAAAAAATACTGAGGGTGTAGTTTAAAAATCAAAATTTGCCGTCAATCAATCCTAATTTATGTCATATACTAACACTAAACATACCAAATCGCGTTTTTTTATCTGAAAATATAAAAATGTTATAGGGGTGAGCCACTTTTCAGACGCACCCGGTATACGTATATTAATTAAATGTTGTAATTACTATAGATCCACCTATCGGTACTGACCACTGCGACTGGTTGTACGGAATCTTCGGACATGAGACTTCCTGCACCAGATATTGGACTTGTTGGAATGGCACAGCCACAGAACAGCTCTGCATCGGAGGTTTACTCTACAACGAACGTACTCATTCCTGTGATTGGCCCGAAAACGTAGATGGATGTCAAAAACATCGTAAGTTTGACAAATATTAGTACCTAGCCTATTTTTACAAGCTTTTATTTGACTTGCAATGTAATGTAACTACTTATACAATAAACGTAACTACTTCCCCTAAACTAACAAAAATAAAACATTTTAATTATTACAACCGTATACAGGTTACCCGCTAGTAGTTATAAAAAGCATTTTTGGTAAACTCTGTCTCTAATAGTTTCTGAAAAATAAAATTATTTTTTTCAAAAAGGTCCGATTAAATGTGTATCTCCGAAACTAAAGTTCCAAAAAAATTCGTAATATATCTAGAAATTCATTTACCCACTAGTAGTTATAAAAAGCATTTTTGGTAAACTCTGTCTCAAATAGTTTCTGAAAAATAAAATTAATTTTTATAAAAAGGTCCGATTAAATTTATATCTCCGAAACTAAAGTTCCAAAAAAATTCGTAATATATCTATAAATTCATTTACCCACTAGTAGTTATAAAAAGCATTTTTGGTAAACTCTGTCTCAAATAGTTTCTGAAAAATAAAATTATTTTGTTTTAAAAATGTCCGATTAAATGTATATCTCCGAAACTAAAGTTCCAAAAAAATTCGTAATATATCTAGAAATTCATTTACCCGCTAGTAGTTATAAAAATCATTTTTGGTAAACTCTGCCTCTAATAGTTTCTGAAAAATAAAATTAATTTTTATAAAAAGGTCCGATTAAATTTAGATCTCCGAAACTAAAGTTCCAAAAAAATTCGTAATATATCTAGAAATTCATTTACCCACTAGTAGTTATAAAAAGCATTTTTGGTAAACTCTGTCTCTCATAGTTTCTGAAAAATAAAATTATTTAGTTTTAAAAATGTCCGATTAAATGTATATCTCCGAAACTAAAGTTCCAAAAAAATTCGTAATATATCTAGAAATTCATTTACTCGCTAGTAGTTATAAAAATCATTTTTGGTAAACTCTGCCTCTAATAGTTTCTGAAAAAAATAAAATTAATTTTTATAAAAAGGTACGATTAAATTTATATCTCCGAAACTAAAGTTCCAAAAAAATTCGTAATATATCTAGAAATTCATTTACCCACTAGAAGTTATAAAAAGCATTTTTGGTAAACTCTGTCTCTCATAGTTTCTGAAAAATAAAATTATTTTGTTTTAAAAATGTCCGATTAAATGTATATCTCCGAAACTAAAGTTCCAAAAAAATTCGTAATATATCTAGAAATTCATTTACTCGCTAGTAGTTATAAAAATCATTTTTGGTAAACTCTGCCTCTAATAGTTTCTGAAAAATAAAATTAATTTTTATAAAAAGGTACGATTAAATTTATATCTCCGAAACTAAAGTTCCAAAAAAATTCGTAATATATCTAGAAATTCATTTACCCACTAGTAGTTATAAAAAGCATTTTTGGTAAACTCTGTCTCTCATAGTTTCTGAAAAATAAAATTATTTTGTTTTAAAAATCTCCGATTAAATGTATATCTCCGAAACTAAAGTTCCAAAAAAATTCGTAATATATCTAGAAATTCATTTACCCGCTAGTAGTTATAAAAATCATTTTTGGTAAACTCTGCCTCTAATAGTTTCTGAAAAAAAAAATTAATTTTTATAAAAAGGTCCGATTAAATTTATATCTCCGAAATTAAAGTTCCAAAAAAATTCGTAATATATCTAGAAATTCATCTACTCACTAGTAGTTATAAAAAGCATTTTTGGTAAACTCTGTTTCTCATAGTTTCTGAAAAATAAAATTATTTTGTTTTAAAAATGTCCGATTAAATGTATATCTCCGAAACTAAAGTTCCAAAAAAATTCGTAATATATCTAGAAATTCATTTACCCGCTAGTAGTTATAAAAATCATTTTTGGTAAACTCTGCCTCTAATAGTTTCTGAAAAATAAAATTAATTTTTATAAAAAGGTCCGATTAAATTTATATCTCCGAAATTAAAGTTGCAAAAAAATTCGTAATATATCTAGAAATTCATTTACCCACTAGTACTTATAAAAAGCATTTTTGGTAAACTCTGTCTCTCATAGTTTCTGAAAAATAAAATTATTTTGTTTTAAAAATGTCCGATTAAATGTATATCTCCGAAACTAAAGTTCCAAAAAAATTCGTAATATATCTAGAAATTCATTTACCCGCTAGTAGTTATAAAAATCATTTTGGTAAACTCTGCCTCTAATAGTTTCTGAAAAATAAAATTAATTTTTATAAAAGGTCCGATTAAATTTATATCTCCGAAATTAAAGTTGCAAAAATTCGTAATATATCTAGAAATTCATTTACCCACTAGTACTTATAAAAAGCATTTTTGGTAAACTCTGTCTCTCATAGTTTCTGAAAAATAAAATTATTTAGTTTTAAAAATGTCCGATTAAATGTATATCTCCGAAACTAAAGTTCCAAAAAAATTCGTAATATATCTAGAAATTCATTTACCCGCTAGTAGTTATAAAAATCATTTTTGGTAAACTCTGCCTCTAATAGTTTCTGAAAAATAAAATTAATTTTTATAAAAAGGTCCGATTAAATTTATATCTCCGAAACTAAAGTTCCAAAAAATTCGTAATATATCTACAAATTCATTTACCCACTAGTAGATATAAAAAGCATGTCCTAAAATGCTTAGTTTCGGAGATACAGGGTGTAGAAATTTCATTTTTATTTCGATTTTTTCCAAATAATTTATGAAGTAACGTCAATATTTGGATGAAAATTGGTATCTGGGAGTTTTTTGCCACGAAAAATTTGATTTTGATGTCAATATGCCTCCAATTTGTAGGGGGCGCCACCTACATGTGTTTTAACTGTTTTGAAGTGTAATAACTTTTCGTCCGTACCTGTATACAACTACTGAGTAAAAAAATATACATTTACGACGTTTTTTACGTGAAAAAGAAAAATCGCTAGGAGTAATGGTTTTCGAGATATTTAGAATCTAATTTATCAATACTTGTTATCATTGACATAAATTAAACATATGTTGACTAAATAGTAATTAGACTAAAATCATAAATTTGAAATGTTTTTGTGCCAAAATTTAGAAATTTTTTCCATTTTAAATCAAAATAAAAACACTAAATCACCACAATACACCAAAACACTTTTACTTTTACACTGTCAGTTTGTTTACTGTGTCAGTGTAAAAGTAAAAGTGTTTTGGTGTATTGTGGTGATTTAGTGTTTTTATTTTGCTGTGTAACACCAAAGGTTCCAAACCTCAACTGTAATCCATTTTAAATATTTTGAGAACGGTTGCTCGTAGCGATTTTTACCAAGAGACATTTTTTATGTAAAAAACGTCGTAAATGTATATTTTTTCAATCAGTAAATTTATACAGGTACGGACAAAAAAAGTCATTACTCTTTAACACAGTTAAAACACATGTAGGTGGCGCCCCCTACACATAAGAGTCATAGTGACATCAAAATCAAATTTCTCATGTCCAAAAACTCCCAGACACCTATTTTTATCCAAATATTGACCTTACATCAGAAGTTATTTGGAAAAAATCGAAATAAAAATGAAACTTCTACACCCTGTATCTCCGAAACAAAGTATTTTAGGACACACATTTATACGAACTTTTTTACTTATTTTAATCTCCAGAATATGCTGCTGCTATGTTTTCGGAATACAGTTCTGACCACCTTGTATATAGTATGTGCTAAAATTCTAATTTAGGTATATTTTGTGAATATAAGTGTCATTATCTGACATTTATCTATTGTGGCTTTATTAGTCTGTTTTAATTTTTTTAATATTTGTATTTTATTATTTGTTACTCTTAAAATTTCTTTGTAGGTTATTTTCAGTTTTTTTTATATAATTTTCAATATTTTTTACAGCTTTATGTAATGATGATCCAAATGGAAACGTACCATTGGGAAAATCCTGCAACCGATACTGGCAATGCCAGGGAGGATATCCCAGACTACAAAGGTGTCCAGCTATGTTGGTGTTCGACAGGAGATCCTTAAGGTAAAAACATCCATTTTTTGATCTAATTATTATTGCAAAATTATGATATTTAAGATAGATACAAAAGACCTATTTTTTAAAATTATTTTTTTAAAAATTTTAATCTTATCAGCACTCGTGTTTATAGAAGCTTTTTTGCATATTTTTTGAAGAGAAATCAATGAGTACTTACATAACAGTTTGGCCAGTTAATGACATTAACTTTTTTACTATGCTTTTTTAAAGGTTGCTATTAGATTTATTTTAAGGCAAATTAGTAAAATTGCCTTTATCTCATCAAGAAGACCAAACTCGAGACAACTTTTAATCAGGATTAAACGGTCTACACAATTTTGCTAACAAGAGAGAAAGTCAGTAGCGCACATGTTTTTTTTTAGAAAATTATACCAGTGATAACCTATACAGGGTCCGGCAATAGTGCGTCGGGCATCTGTAGCTCCTATATAATAAAAAAACTTGGGAATTTTGTTTAAGTCCAAACCTAAAGTATATATTAGCACAGATTATACAGATTATAAACTTTCGTGGTTCCAATTTTCAAATTGGGCACTAGTTGGGTTACTAGTTTGCGCACATAGCACGCCCACTTATGGCCTCTAGAATTGTGCACAGCGCCTGACCGGCACAGTTATTAGAGAGATATCGGAAAACTGAATAGCGTCATGCAGTATTTACGCGTACCTTATGGTTACGATATGCGCGAGTCAATTTTTAACGCAACACCCGCTAATAACGTTACCGCCTGATTTTGCGGATCAATTACACCAAGCGCTATTTCTAAATAACGTTTAAAAATTGCTTAAATGGGCATGTGTGGGTATTTGACAACCGGGGCCGGCCGGCGAGATTATTTATTTTAGGTTATGTTTGAATTGTTTTGAATTATTACTTTAGTTTTATTAGGTAGGTAATTTGATATTTAAGTAGCTGGGATTAGTTTTAATTAAATAAATATGGCCCAAAATATGGATTCCACCTCTTCCAATATTAAAGAACCTATAAAGAGGCTTAGGTTTACAGCAGATGACGACTTAGCCCTTCTAAAAGAATGTGTTGCTTGTTGCCCTAAACCCACTGGCAGACGTTGAACAATAAAGCACTGGAAATAAGCACTTTAGCCCTTGAGTTTTAAAATGCCTAGTAAACAAAACAATTTCAAAGTTTTAAATTCAAAGTTAGGTTAAGTTTAAATAGCGGACGCGACGCGAACAGAATTCTTTCCGATCCGATAACTATAAATGAAGAGAGTTAATACCACCTCACGTAAAGGAAATAACACCTGACCTTATTAACGTCCATGCACGCTATTCAGTTGAGCGATATCTCTCTATTACGCTGTTTATTGTTATTTCACGCGAGTTTATTTTTGCGCACAGGAAATTTTACTCGTTTGCACATCGTCATAAAAAACAATTTTCCTACCACAAATTAGGGATAAGATTTTTATCTGTTTACATATAGTATACCTAATCTGTGGTACTAGGATGTATTTCAGGAAAATATTTTAACTTCTATAGGGTGGCTCAAAAAAGTATGGATAGGGATGATTTTTTTACTCTCTGTACATTATTGCATTTTTGGCTTCCTTTCAGATCACTTCACATAATCCTAAGATATGAGTAAATATATTTAAAGAGGGATGGCACATGTTTTTTAAAACAACCTCTATAAAAGTATTTTCGTTTATAACACTGCTTCTACTATTTTTACTACTAGAATGACCCTGGTACATGCTATGAGGGATAGTAATGGCCATGAAGATTTGTTTTTTTTTGCTTTTATTGCACGGAGAGCCCCAGTCATTCCACTAACAAATTTATATTATTATTCCTAGATGCAATTAACACGCTATTGCAAAATACATATATCGCATGAAATAAAAGTTACACAACGCTGAATTAATGCTCATTTTTTGCCACTGTTTTTTATTGTGTTGTTTTTTCATGTAATTTTAATAATAGTTTTTTAAGACATTCTTACTATAAATTTTTATTGCATTTTAATATTAAAATATAATTAAATATATAAGGATATGAATATAAATTAAGAATATACGAACCTTTGGCTTGGTGCATTCTCCGCCGGTGCTGCCATCATCGGAGAATATCGTAAACAACCGGCATATACAGGGTGGCGCCCCTCATACGCCGCGGAAGCTCCAAGGAGAACGGTTGCTTATATCAAAATGAAATTTTGGCAGCATATGTAGGTTAACTGAAGGCATTTTATAAAAATATATAGAATTATACAGGGTGTCCCAAAAAAAAGTTACACATCAAAGTTGTGTTTTTTCTAATGGAACACCCTATATATTAATTGATTTTCGGATTCTAGGAAAAAAATAAGGGTGATTTTTATTAAAGAAGCATATACTTAAAATCTAAGGATTTTGACATATATGATATTTTGTGAAAATGAAGAGTAAATTTTAAATTTCGATAACAGCTACCTAAATTTTAGTTGACCTTGTATAGCCCGATATTTAATTACAGTAACCATTGTATGTTAAACCAAATTGAAATTTGACCCGAAAAGTTATACGGGGTGAGACAAAATTAGTATAGAACATTAGTCACTTTTAAAAGCAAGTAACTCCTTTATTTTAAATGGAACATCCAGTATATTTTTCCGGTGTTCAATGGGTAATTTATATATCTACAAAATATTATTAAGATTGCTGACTCCTCAGATAAAAATTTTCCTAGATATTTTAACTTTTATGATTTTGCGTGAGTACAGTACGTCTGTTCGTTCTGTAGCTACGGGGTATCCGTGAGAGGGGAAACGATTCTCTCGATGTTTTTCGTAAAAAATTAGACGACGCGTTCCATCAATAAAAATTCGACAAATTTGCAAGTAGCCAATAAAATGAGTGGGCGGAGCGATTTGCGGTGACGTACTCGTCAAGTCGACGTATAAAATATATTGTTGTTTATTTAAAGGTTTTTTGTCCGCATTCCTTTCATAGACACAGATCCAGCAAACGTACTGTAGATCTTTATTATTTGAAAAAAATCTAGGTGGCTGTGTGATATATCTTTTGTAAATTTAACAAAAATTAAAGATTGTAGAGTAAAACACTCAACGGCAATAAAAAGATACACGTTTAAAACATATATATTATTACAGAATTAAAACTAGATATAAAGCTATAATTATGTGACAAAAATTAGCTAGATGAAATCATATGCTCTTTTAAAAGGCATATAGGTGGAGTTCTACCTCGAAAAGCAGCTACTATCATTTCTCTCGTGTTGTCGAGAATAGTTGTTGGTCGAGTTTTGTAAACACTGTCTTTAATATATCCCCATAAAAAAAACAGACTAGATAAAATCAGAAGCATTTAAGTATTCTATTAATTCTATTAATTGGTGAACTGCATTTACCAACTAATAGAATCATATCAACTCTCTCTGATGTAGGATAAGTTTGCATTTTCGGCAAATTTCTGAGAATTTTTTTTGTTTTAACTGACACAATATGATAACTAGTTGTTAAAGTGGGACTAATTAGACAGCTATGTTGAAGTAACGCCATACATATCACAGGAGCTCCTAGATGGAGCCTCCGCGGCGTATGAGAGGCGCCACCCTGTATAATTATTCTAAAAGTGTTTAGAATACACCAAACCTATAAAATTTAACTAACTACCTAATGATTCTGTTTTCTTAGATGTGTGGTACCGCCCACCGAAGACTGCGACGTACCCAGCACCCTTCCCCCACCAGTCAGAGAGGAAGAAGAAGAACAGAACATTCCCCAAAACAACCCCAAAAATAGAGGCAATAGAGAACCAGCCAACTTCCCAAACCTACCCCCCGGAGCGATCCCAATCCCATCGAAAAACAACAGAGGACAAAACTAATTTAGTAATTTAGTACTACTATTTTAAGTATTTTATTTTAAGTCGTCGAACTGAGAGTTAAGGCGCGTTTACACCAGTCAAGTTAAGTTCAACTTGACCAATTGACTTGACTCGTATGGACGCACCTTTAAGTATTTTATCGAAAAAGTAGCACAGCATACATATCGCGTAGATTCAACTGAATATTTATTTTTTTCTTTAATACGTAATATTGATGTAATAACACGTTAAAAATAATGATTTCGCGGTATTTTTGTGGTATAATATTAATTTATTCCTCATCAAATTGAGTTAATGTAATTTCCATATGGCGTTTTCTTAATGTTAGATGGCCGAGTTTACTTTCTCTAGTTGCATTTTTCATTTCCACGTGAAACACTTTCACTTTTTGCGACTATATATAATATATATTATGTGCATGTATATTTTTTCCATATTTTAGTGCCAGTATATATAATATTACTTTCGTCTTTCGTATGTACAGTGTGTCCACATATTTAGGATGGGTCACTGAAAATTTCTTGATTGAGATTTTATTTTTATTATTCTTTTTAAGTTATTGGATATACGTATTAATCTAATTTATGATTTGTAAGAAATTATTTTACATGTTTATTAAGGTTTAATGAACGCACATAATTCTGATCACACTGTATATATATATTTCTTGAAAAAAAAAGATCAAATTTCTGTATTGTTCTTTAAATTTAAATCCATTGTTTTATAATTAAACAATATAGTTTTGTTTTTTAAACAATATTGTTTTATTTCTTTACCCTGCATGATTGCAATTTACAGGGTGTCCCACTTAAGATGGATACAAGCCAATATCTTGGTTGTTTGTTGAGCGATCTTTTTCATTTTTGGCAAGAGGCTGTATGGCTATAAGACGTACATTTTGCCCAGGGTAAGAAATGCGATACCTCATAGACGTACGTTTTAATGGGGTTTGATATTTTTCGAGTCAAGAGTAAACTACCCTTAGGACAGTATTTATTTCAAATCTGATAAATTATATTTAATCTTCCTTACACAAAATACTTAAATTCTAATTTTGATAAATATTGATACTGGGTGTGTTATTAAAATAAGACATTTTTATTTTTATTGTTATTTTTTTAAGCACTTACGACGCCACTGCACTGAAAAAAAGGATCTCTCAGTCGAAATGAATATGACTTTGACCCAAAAGATTGGCGCTTTTCAATAGGGCCAAGAACGACGTTTCTTTGCCCAAAGCATTAACTATCTTTTCATAAGCTTTAAAAAATTACTTTAGAGAAGAATCTATCTGTTCAAAGTATTTCACTCTTGACCCAAAATGAATATGCAAAGAAGTTCTTGCTACAAGAACAATAGTCTCTTTGATTCATGCAAAAATTCTTGATTGAAAAGGAACATTTCTTGATTAAAGAGACACTTTTCTTAAACCAATAGCGAATACTATTGACTCAACTAAAAATTATTTTGGTCTAAGAGAAGTCCATACATCATATACAGGCATATTACGAGGTATAATATTTTCTGATAAATTTAGGTTTTCCTGGTCTGTAGTAAGTAAAGTGATATTATTTTAAAATTATAAGCTTTGGTCACATTTTGAATTTTTTAATACGACTTGAAATTCTAAAATTTTTGTAATTATTTGCTTATTTATTATTCTTATTCTATCTATAGTCACGCATGCATTATCTAAACAGGTGCATTAGGTAAATGTCTCTTACCTTCAAATATAGCAAATAAATGCTCTAATTTCCATGTTTTTCAGAAACTTCTTTAAAGAATCCATATATCCTAAAATTTGTCCATAAAAAATGACAAATACATGTCAAAAACGATCACTAATTTGTTATACGATATGCGCTTAAAAAGCAAATTATGCAAAATTCCAAGCAACAAAACCCGTGCGTACTATGATGTGCGACCTATGAAATGCGACATACGACTAGTGGTCGAGAACTATCGATAGCCTATCGATATTTATCGATAGTTTATAATATCGAAAACTATCGATATTATATTTCTGACCATCGATAGTTTTCGATAATTATGTCTTTATTACTATTTACCAGTTTCAATAAAGAAAAGACATTCAGGTTTAATTTTTTTTATCACCACCAATCGGTTCTTTAACATAGGTTGAAAATAAATAAGAATCTTCTTTTAAACGAGTTTTCGGAGCAGTTAGTCAATCCGAAATATGTCATTATTGTCAAAATTATCAAATGTCGTGTCAACACTGTCAACGTTAACTGTCAACAGTGTCAACTTTAACGTCAAACGTCGACTTCAAGCTTACGGCCAACGGATTTTTGGATCTAATCTGGCATTTTTGCAATTTAATTTATATGTGATAAACAATAATAAACATAAATCAAAATATAAAAAAACATATGTGATGTGTGATGTGTCCATTCCATAGACAAACTAACAAAAGCAAGACTTTTCAAAGGATTGAGGAAGTCGAATTATTGTTTTTGCGCTGGCCAGTTGAGTCAGAAATCATCGCGCAGTCGCACTCGTCAAACCTAACCTAAATAAAACGAAAACGTTTTTGCCTTGAACCATCCTTGAACGAACTGTTGAATTCCTGATTTTGCGTTTTGTTTGGTTATTACTATTATTTTATTAGCGTACAAAACGAAAACAAATAATTTAATACATTTTACATTTATGAAGAACATAATAATTACTGTGATTATACATATTATTGTGATTATATCCCTAACGTAGACAAAACGAAGGTCCTACAAATTGACTGTAAGTTATAAGAATCTTTTTAATCTTTTTATGATTTGAATTTTCGTGCTTTATATTTTATAATAGACTCGAAATGTTAATATTTTTGCAAATTCTTGTGAAAATGTGAAGTTTATATTTTTGTTTTATATTTGAAAAAGTTGTATATTTTTAAGATGTTTCTGTTGTTCCTATTATTAATATTATAATATACATAATTATTTTTTTGTACCTTTTGAAGAATAATGCTTTTATTTCGTTTACCATAACTGTTTTTTTTATCATCTTTTTTGTTATTTTAATAAGAGGAATACGTTTTCGTTTATTTAACTTTTGTTTTTATATCTGTTATGTCCAGAAATTATTGTTTATTTTACCGATGGAAATAAATTTATTTGATTTTAATAAACGCTTTTTAATTAAACATCCTTGTCTAAAAGGCTACTACAAAATACACAATCCATAAGTAAACCGTCCTCGTCTAAAAGGCCAGTTGACGTAAGCGCGGTAATAAACTCTTATCAAACTTGTTACCGTTTTGCAGTACAGCGTTGACGCGTCTTGCTTTTGTTAGTTTGTCTACGGTCCATTCCATTTGCAGGCGGTGATTTAATATAAAAATGTTATTTAAAGAGTCTGGGTTAGTTTTGTACGTCAATGATCTTCCAAAAAACATAATTTATTTAAAAAAATAACCTAAAAACTGGTAAACTCACTAATTATTATGACTATCGAACACTATCGATAATAATCGATTGTCAAAGGACCGACTATCGATAATTATCGATGGTGGGGACTATCGATCAGTAGAGGACTATCGATCATCGAGTTCTCGACCACTACATACGACTGATCGAACTGCCGACTGATTGTATATACCGTCCTTCGTCATCGTCTTTGCGTGTCGTTATTATTTTTCATCAAAAGAGTATTTAGCTATTGGAACAATGGCCATGTTTCTTGAATGAAGTACTTCCTAGCGTATTTTTCTTTTGGTTGAATGAAAATAGATTCAACAAAAATTTTCGAATTTTTCAAGAGAACCAGTTTTCTTGAGTTAAGAGAGTTTTTCTTCAGGCAAAATATTTTCTTTTACACTAAAATAAATTCTCTTGCCACTAAATTTTTTTTTTCAAGAACGACTTTAGTTTAGTAAAGTCTATCTTTTTTATCAGTGTGGATAAACAACTGGTATATTATCAATAACCAATTATAACCAATTATCAATACATAATCGATTTAAGTTTTCACATAGCTTCATCATATAATTAAGATACGATACAAAAAAACTAAACAATTTCAATTTATTTTGTTTTTATTAAGTTTGCTAATACAAACGAATAAAATGAGTTACAAAATAATTTAAAAACCTAGTTTTCAATTAAATCTGAAATATGAATTTTATTCGTTTTATTGAGGAGTATTTTAAAATATCCAAATATTTATTTAAAACAATCACTATTAATTTTGAAAAATATGCTCTAAACAAAGATTTATAAAACTATAATGAACTAAAAGTCAACATCTTCGACCAAACTTAAATCGATTATTAATTGATAATTGGGTATAATTGGTTATTGATAATAAACCAGTTGTTTATCCAGTGGCGTCGTAAGTACTTAAAGAAATAATAATAAAAATAAAAATGTCTTATTTTAATGACACACCTTGTATCGGTATTTATAAAAATTAGAACTTAGGTATCTTAGGTAAGGAGGATTCAATATAATTTTTCAGATTTGAAATAAATACTGTCCTAAGAGTATTTTACTCTTGACTCGAAAAATATCAAACCCCATTAAAACGTACGTCTATGAGGTATCGCATTTCTTACCCCGGGCAAAATGTACGTCTTATAGCCATACAGCCTCCTGCCAAAAATGAAAACGATCGCTCAACAAACAATCAAGATATTGGCTTGTATCCATCTTAAGTGACAAAAGAAAATATGTAAAAGTAGGCAACGCTGTACCGGTCAAGCTTAACAGTTTATTTGGTTTGAACTGTAGGTAACTTGTTTGTACTATAGGTTTGTAGTTTCTTAATTCATTTTCTTTTAAATATATTTTTCTAAATAATAAAACTTCATTTTTTAAAGCAACTTGTTTTATTTCTTCTTGCTACGACAGTATCATTTCAATGACAAGATTGTTGTACAACTTTTTATACCTAAAAAGAAAATTATATACAAATGATCTAGTCTTTGAGTCTTCGAGTGATTTAAAGTAAATTTCTTACAAATTCCTTGTGGCAGTATTGATCATATTTATGTAGTATTTTGGACATGTATCTACTGACACAAATGCCAGATGTATCAGTATTGCATGAGATACCATGTAGACAAGCTGTTGAAGTACCGCACTATTTTTAATTTGGCATTCTTGAGATATTTGGTGATAAAATACCTAAATAAGAAAAAATAGTTGATTTTAGTACATCATATTCCAAAATGACAGACTATAACTGTCACTATCAGGTATTGTCTCGTAGGACAGACTATAGTTTAAAGAGTCTCCAAAAAATACTTATATAGTATAAAAAATGTAAATACAGTACTTACTTGTAACAGTGTTGTAATTCCAACAACAAGGACTTGTATATTCGGTGCTACAGCATAAGTACCACCAGCCAAGAAGCCTGCAATAGCTCCAAAATACTTTTTATCTATTATTTTTGCTTTCAATAAATGGCATATTATAAACTACAAAATATAAATGAATTAAAAATAAAATTAAATAAAAAAAATAAATACCCTGTATAAGCAGACGTAACCACCAATAAAAGCTCCAAATCTCACGTTGTCCTTGTTGACCAAAATTCCAAAAATATTTTGAGGTTTCTGCACTAAACTTAGCATTTTCGGAATAAGTTTTTTAATTATGCTGAAAGCATAACCAAGTCCAAAATATTTCAGACTTTTCTAAAAGAAATATAAAAAAAAATAATAATAAAATACATTAGCATCGTGGGGACTTGATTGTATTGTGAAAACTAGATGATGAAAAGAAAATTGAGCGAATCCCAATCACCGCTTCTGTTAAAGTATCTTACTTTAAAGATGTAATCATAACAGTCATTTTTATGATAACATGTGTAGTTTTCGTCGCACAAGTTCATAAAATTTTTTGGTGTGTAGAACCTACAAGAAAAGTTGTATGTAATAGTACTTCAATACTTTATGATTTTTAGTAAATATTTCTTTACCAGAAATGAACAAAATCTAGTTTGTGGTTCTTCTTTTGAATCATATACATCAAAGCACTACTTATTAACATATAAAATATAGTTTGTTTGGTTACTGTTAGGTTCACAATTTGATGATAGTCGATATTTTGAAAGGCAGATTCAACCAGCTAAAAAATAAGACTACACAACTACACAGGGTGATCAAATTGAAATACACAAAGTTTTACATGTAATAAATATGTATGAGAACAAGATGTCTTTGTGGTTTAAAATTGATCACCCTGTATGTAATAATAATAAAAAAAATTGGCGCCGGGAGGCACGTATAGCCGCCCATACTAAAATATGTTAATAAAAAGTTGGTAGGCAGTTCTTTTAGTTTCAATTATCTCAAAAACTGCGACTTTGACTGATTTTGATGTTTTTACAAATTTTGTTGCAAATATTATTCCTAATCTTAAATTGAAAACCGCGTTTCGCTAGCTACTGTAATTTTGGAGTTACGATTTTTTTAAATTTTTAACCTCCTCCCATACCCCCTTACAACCCCCCACCCCCACCAAAAACTAACGGCCAGATTCTCGGGTGCCACAGTATTTTTGTACCAAATTTGGTTAAAATCGGATTAGTGGTTTTTGAGTTATCGTGTTACAGACAGACAGACAGACAGACAGACAGGCAGACAGGCAGACAGACAGACAGACAGACAGACAAACGGTATGGTCGGCTAAAAATTGTGTGCGTACTATGTGCGCATATTTGTAGTGAAACTTCATACTAACAGCTAGAAGTGTAAGCTATAAGTGTAAAAAAACTAAAAGCGTAGTTTGCAATGTTGAAAAAGTAATAAATTAAAAAAAAATATTTTTGCTGTAAATGTTTTGTGTAACAAATAGTTTTTTACGTACAACAAATAGCTTTTTACGTCAAAAAATAGTTTTATACGCGTAAAAAATAGTTTTTTACTAAAAACTGTTTTTGCTCGCGCAAAGTCTTGAAATGTTGCTCCTAAAATGCGTAAAAAAGTTTTACTTCAATAACTAACTACTTAAAAACTTACCAAGTTAAAAAAAATTAACGTGTCCAGTATTTTGTTTTCTTTGGTTTCAACAAGCAGTCCTAATCCTGATACTAATCCAGAAATGAGTCCTATGTTATAATAATTCATCCTTCCAGTAAGTCTACTACATACATATAAATTAATAATACATTTTATTACAAAATAAAAAAATAGTGCTTATACCATAAAACACAGTTACTTCCTAGCAGCAAACTACCCAATAACATACCATAAAAAGATGACCTAATTTCATTTTGAACAAATTTCTTCAAAACCACTTTTTTGTCTTTGTATTTTCTATAATCCAGAACTGCTCTTATCTAATGAATAAATGCAATGTCAGTATTTTTATATTGGATAAGAAATCATTTTTACACTTACCACATAGATTGGTATAAAAAATTTCAGTGAACCTAGAAAGACATCGCAACAAAGATCAAAGTTGGCCTTCAAGCAGTTTCCTTCCCAAGTATGCAAATGATTGCAGGTGAATTCTTTTAGTACTTTTTCATAAAAAAGTTCCTTGCTTAAAACTACCATTTTAGTACTTCAACAAATAAAAATAATACGAATCAAAGTACATAGGAATATTAATTAGATTTGATAAAATTCTATTTCGTTGCCTTCAATTCAATTTAAATTCATTTTTGGGTTAATGTTTTATTTATATTTACCGTAATTTTATTATGTAAATGACAATATTTTACTTTGTATTGTCTCTGTGTGAAATGTAGAAGAATATATACAGGGTGGCGCACCTCATTCGCCTCGGTTAATTATGCAAAAACGGAAAGATGTAGAAACAAAATGTTGTATGGGTATATGTGGGAAGACAGAGTGTCGGAACTAAGATCCATACCAAAGTTATATTTGTTCTTATGGAACACCCGGTATTTTATTTCATTTTTCGATTCTAGGACATAAAATAAGGCATTTATTATAAGGGTTTAATATGTCTAAAAGCTTTGGTATAATAAAAAAGGTTGTTAACACCCTGTACATTACTTTTCAGAATTAATTCTTGTGCTGACTTTTAAGCTAGAAAAATAAACTTTACTATAAAATTGATTGCTTTCTGAAATGTATACAGGGGTATCAAAAACTGCTTGTCTATTTTAAATACTTATTTTACATAAAAATTTCGTTATTTTAAATGCAAGACTCTGTATTTTTTAAAACCAATCGAAGCAGATTCAAATGCTCTTTTAAACTATATTAGGGTTTCCTATATCTGGCTGAGATTTTGAATAAAAAGCGATTTTTCAATAAAATAGCAATCAAGATGGTTGGTGTCACTACAGGGGTGCCCGGGAGTGCCGGCCACCCCATATACTGCTGGGCACCCCCAGAGAAATCCTGAGTTATGACTCTTGGCTACGTATTAATTTTTATTTGCTTGTGATGCAGTAAAAATGACGTTTTCTAGTGTTGTTTAGTCGATATTATTTTGTTGTGTTCAAAAAATGTGTTAATTTTTATTTTTTTAGAAAATTTGTAGGTATTTAAGTAATCTACGGGAACACGGTTTGATATCCAAGTCTATGAAATTTATTGATAGAGAAATTTATGTAAACGTTTTATTAAAAAATGTGTTTTATAAAATTATTTTTCATTTTCAAAAAAACACAAGCCCTAGGCCCCCCTTGGGCTCAACCCCAGGCCCCCTCCCACAGGCCTATCCCAGGATAAATTGCTAGTTACCCTAATGCAAACAGGCAGTTTTTTTGTCCAAAAATTCTAAATATTTTTTTCTCAAAAACAGTTAATGTTAGGTATAGAGTGTTTAATATCAAAATTCATAAAATTTTACAGAGAATTTAGTTTTGTAATAAAAATTGGGGATACTCATTTAAAAAAAGAAAGTTGCTGTCAATTTTTGGTACTTCCGATAGTGCCGCCATATTGAAAATATTTTTATTCGATAGATCTCGTTATGAAACAATAATGTGCAAAAAATCTCCGATCTAGATATTGTACTTCTCTAGAACCTTCTAATGCACACTCAGGCTGGGACACCCTGTATACCAAATTTTAGAGAAAAAGAGACGAATTTTTAAACGTTTATTTACATTATAAAAATCCGAAATAAACAGATTACAAAAATATAGACAATCAATCTTTATAAAATAGGATCAAAACAAAACAAAATCTCACTAACTCTAAATACAATATCACACTTTTAATCAATAGAAATTATTATTTCTAAGGCTTTACAGTAACTCTAAGCAAATGCCCATCTGCACCGCCTACGTATACCTCGTTTTTCTCTCCAGCAGATATCACATTGATTACCAAATCCAGATTCAGACTTGCTACATTCTCTGGACAATTCCGCGTTATGGACCAGTGTTTTAAGATTTTATCCCATCCACCGCTGAAGAGGTGCTCAGTATTATTCCACACCACACCTTCCAAAGCGTTGATTAGTAAATCCGAACACTCCTGGAAAGAAAATATTACAAAATATACCTTTATAACCTGGAAACTTATATGGTGAAATTTTGATAAAATAATTTAGTACACACTAAAAACACGGTATGTCGCTAGTGGTAGGAAAAATAATTTTTAGAGGTTACTAGTTTATTTGGTTGCCTATGATATGCATATACAGGGTGTTTCCTAATTAATCTAAAAAATATAAAATCGTTAGAAAATGAATTAAGGCGGGCTCTTAATAAGTATATTTATTTTTTTCTCGACAACCGTTTGATGAACAAGAAAAACTCAAAAGATCAATTTTGTTGAAAAAGCATGGCCAGTCAAGAAAAAAATATATTTTCTTTAAAAAAGCAGTGGTGTACCATTTGTGTTAAGCAAAAAAATCGATTTTTTTTAAATTTATAACACCCTGTAGATCAGAAAGGAAGTACTTTAGACCCAATGGTTATATAAAAATTGTTGAACACATGAGGAATCACACCATAATTTTTTTAGACTAATTCGAAAACACCCTGTATATCGTCAACTTGACAATGACTGCTGATAAACCATGATAAATAAAAAAATACCTTTTCAGTGAAAAAAGCCTGATTTTCGCAGGAAAAATTTTGATTTTTATTGAATTTGGGCCTGCATTTGCAAATACTGGTTTGTTTTTTAATTTTCTATCTATCTAAATTTTAAATATCATACTCAGAAATAGTTTTATTATTTATTAACTGTAAAAATGGTGTCTTCTTGTTGTGTTGCATCTTGCAAAGAAACTAACCAAACTGCAAAAATGTACTTGTTTCCAAAAGACGATAAGGTATGTATCTTAGATATAAAAAAAATATATGGTATGTGTTCGTTTTTTGATTTTTTTTTCGTTAGCTTTAAAATCTATAAATCTAGGTCTATTCATTTAGACAGCCAGTCAACTTACGATCATTTACATGAAACTCTGTAAAATAAATAAAAAAATAAATTGTAAAATATATATGTTCTTATGTTTTATTAAAGTTACTTTGATATTCTAATATATCAGTGTAACTTTAAAAATAAATCCTTTGAATTCAAATATAAACATAAAAAAACATTTACAGCAGAAAAGGCGAAGGCGCTGGGTTAAACGTAGTCTCCACTAAAAACACGGAGGGGCGCTTTGACCCAAAATTTTACTATTAAGTTTCATATCTATCTTAATAGTAGATTATTTTCTTTTATCTATGTTTATAACTTTGGATCAGAAAAAAGCAGAATGTTTACTAAAGAAACAGGCTAAGAGAGAGGTCTTCATTCAAAACCCTCATTTTTCAAATTCAAAAACTACTTAAATCTTACCGTTATTCTGGCCACAGCTTTAAAGTTCTTCTCAAGGTTATTCTCATGGATAACAACTTCTCTTCCTTCTCTTGTTGAGTAGGCAAATAAATTTTTGCCTATTAAGGTAGCTGGCGCTCTTCCCATGAACACTTGCTTCATACCATACTGAATATTGTCTTCTGAAAATTATAATTAGTTACTTTATTGGTTTAGATATGTATTTATTAAAAACAGAAGTATATATAAGTGTAGATTTATGTAGACATTCATTACTTTCAATCTTCATTTCTGTAATGACCAAATCCAAATCACGAACTGTAAAAATCAGAGGTCCAGACATCAACATCAATTTCACTGGTTCTGCTAAGTTTATCTGTCCATAAAGCTTATTCTTCTTGTAAACATTGATCTGCAGAACATAATTAAACAAATGTTTGTTAATTTTCTATGTTATGAATAATTATTTAAAGGATATTTCAGTATATTTACATTTCCTTTGCTGTCTCCAGAAAACAGACAGTTTTTGGCATACTTAATCTGCCAAAATTCTACTTCCTGATCTTCCACCAACGTTTCTATAGGTTTGAGTGTTTCTAGGTGCCAAGATTTGATAGTACCATCATTGGAACAAGACCATAGTACTCCATCACCGACAGTAAGACAGTAAACTGAACAGGGATGGGCTTGCACCTCATTTAACTTGGTTAAATCTTGAGACCAAATCTGGAGAGGTAAAATAAATGTAATGCTTATATATTTTTGTATTTGAACTATCATGATTAGTGAAACACCAGGGTTAAAAGTAAAACGATTTGGTGAATTGTGATTTCTTAAAACTTTAAGTTTAAATTTTAAGTTTTTTAGCCGACCATACCAACAGGTATGGTAGGCTATTAAGATCGGCAAAAAAGTAATTTTCAAGCTGTCTGTCAGTCTGTCCATCTGTCGGTCTGTCGGTCTGTCGGTCTGTCGGTCTGTCGGTCTGTCGGTCTGTCGGTCTGTCGGTCTGTCGGTCCGTCTGTCCGTCTGTCCGTCTGTCCGTCTGTCCGTCTGTCCGTCTGTCCGTCTGTCCGTCTGTCCGTCTGTCCGTCTGTCCGTCTGTCCGTCTGTCCGTCTGTCCGTCTGTCCGTCTGTCCGTCTGTCCGTCTGTCCGTCTGTCCGTCTGTCCGTCTGTCCGTGTCCGTCTGTCCGTCTGTCCGTCTGTCCGTCTGTCCGTCTGTCCGTCTGTCCGTCTGTCCGTTCTGTCCGTCTGTCCGTCTGTCCGTCTGTCCGTCTGTCCGTCTGTCCGTCTGTCCGTCTGTCCGATCTGTCCGTCTGTCCGTCTGTCCGTCTGTCCGTCTGTCCGTCTGTCCGTCTGTCCGTCTGTCCGTCTGTCCGTCTGTCCGTCTGTCCGTCTGTCCGTCTGTCCGTCTGTCCGTCTGTCCGTCTGTCCGTCTGTCCGTCTGTCCGTCTGTCCGTCTGTCCGTCTGTCCGTCTGTCCGTCTGTCCGTCTGTCCGTCTGTCCGTCTGTTTGTCTGTCCATCTGTCCGTCTATCCGTCTGCCCGTCTGTTCATCTGTCTGTAACACGATAACTCAAAAACCGGTAAACTGATTTTAACCAAAATTGGCACAAAAATACTGTGGCACCCGAGAATCTGGCCATTAGTTTTTGGTGGGGAGGAGGGTTGGTAAGGGGGTATGGGAGGGGATTAAAAATTTAAAAAAATCGTAACTCCAAAATTACAGTAGCTAGCGAAACGCGGTTTTCAATTTAATATTAGGAATAATATTTGCAACAAAATTTGTAATAACATCAAAATCAGTCAAAGTCGCAGTTTTTGAGATAAAAAAATTGGAAAAATTCCTTTACTCTGAAACTAAAAGAACTGCCTATCAACTTTTTATTAACATATTTTAGTATGGGCGGCTATACGTGCCTCCCGGCGTCAATTTTTTTTTAAATGAAGTAAACCATTAGTGTTAGAAGTTAGTGTTAAAAGTAAAACACTTTTAAATCTAATGTTAAAAGAATATTACTTAGTTTTAACACCAGCGTCATAAAATAGTTTTACACATTGAACACATCCATTAAAAGTCATACTTTTGTTTATAGAAAAAACATATTTTAAGTATTTTTTTAATAGCATCGTTAAAAGTAGATGTGTTGAAAATTTTATATTCTACAAAAAATAATATTTTGATGTTAGTAAATAAAACTCCTACCATTATTTTTCCATCATCTGCAGCACTATAAAGTTTTCCTCCATGATACAGCAAGTATGTTACGTCCCACTCGTGTTTATCATTGTCAGAAGCTCTACAGGTAATTTCCAGAGGCATGTCAAGGCAGTTATTTAACGTTGAAACTCAAAAGACATACACTGCGCTGATAGATTCAGCAACAAAATAAATGCATCCGAATTTATAGGGTACCACAGTGAAAAAAACAATAAATTTAACCTCAAACGCATATAACTTAAATATAAATGTTTGCTATAAATGTTTTGGAATGATCTAGATGTATGAGGGTGCTATTTTTAGTGGTAAATAGATTTAAAAATAAAGTTTCTAAAAATATCGGGAAAATTCAAGCATGGAATTCCCTAGAGCTTTGCTTGGAACAGACAAATGATTATTTATTTGTCTCTCATACATTTAAATGTATAATACATTACTTAAAAAAATGTTTTTATTTACGAAAATAGCATAAAGTATGATTTAAATACAGTATTTGGGGTATTATTGATTTTAAACAGGTTGTATAAACAAAAATTCTTCTAATATTAAGGAATAAGTTGCTTTCGATTAAAAAAATTGATTCTAAAAGATTTATCAGTCTTGAAACTCAACAAAATATTAATTTAAATTTTTTTATTGAAATAACAGCCAATTCATTAGGCAGCCAGTTGGCTTTGTCAGTTTTTTAGTACCTCTGTGCCACTCGGTGGTAAGTCCTGAGAAATATCTTGGAGTGTCTTAGACCTTTTTATGATTTTTAATTATTTACTAATATAAACAGTTTAAATGCATTAAAAAAGGTTTATTAAAATCATACAGCCAAAATATACAACAAATACAATCATTAATCAAACATTATTCATAGACGAATTAATATTACATAAAAAAATTAATACAAAACAATCAAAATATATCAATCAATCAATCTATCTGACGTCCACTCTGACAATGTGTCCATCTGCACCAGCGGCGTAGATTTGATCTTGGTCACCTGTAGCTATGGAGTTTATTACAATGTCTACGTCCACACTACCGCCATCTGCGAGAGATTGGTTTTGGACATTCCATTTTCTTAGAATTTTGTCCCATCCCCCGCTGAATAATTCAAGTTTATTGCCCCACTGGACTCCAGCTAGGGCATTGATGATCCTATCGTCTTTGGATCCATGCTGTAAAAGATATTTACGTTATAATTCCAGTAATTGAAATTTTGATGTATTGCAAAGCTTGATATATATACAGGGTGAGTTTCCTACGATGTTCTCTATGGGTATCTCGGTAACTACTGGAGATAGAGAGTCAGTTAAATGGGGAAAGAATTGCAGTTTTGTGGGGTCATAAATATGCGCTTTTCAGATTTTCGAAAAAGTTCATGGCTTACTAGATATTTCGAAAAAAAAAACAAATTTTGGCTATTTTAAAAATTGTCCCTAATTCCATTATAATCTATTTTAGACAAAAAGTTTTCAGATAAAAGTTGTAGATAATCACATCCCTAATGAGATTGTGTTCTCCGATTTTTTCTAAAGCCTGTCATTTTTGACATATGACACAAACATATGTTTTTTAAATGGAAACCATAGTTGGCCAAGACTTCATAAAAAGCGCTGTTTTTTAAGCTTTTCAACGATATAAGATATAATATGTTTCTTTCACAAAATTACTGAGTTATAACCAATTCTTATCTTTCTTGACTAATTTCACTTAGTTAGCCATGGAAACAAGTTCAATCGTCGTTGCTCTCAGAAATGTGAAATTGTCACATCCAATCTTTGTAAATTAACATAAACAAAAATTGTAAAATGGTATTTCCAAAATAGGTCTTATCGGAATATACAAACAATTTTTCCACAAACTTTTGTAAACAGGCCAATTCCATCTTTACCTACTATATCAAGAGTTATTAATAATTTTGAAACACATGGGTGCGTGTCCCCACAAAAACACAAAAAGCCTGATGTGTTGATTAATGAAGAACAGGAGTTAAAGCAAGTGTTCGTTTGTGTTACCGCGGATCAAAATCCCACGTTTTCAAGTAATCAAATTGCTGAGGTGGTTGCCCTGCCCACAATGCCCGTATTGTTCAAGAATATTTGAACAATACTTTTCCCAACCGTTTAATTAGTGGATATGGAACTATTTTGTGGCCCGCTAGATCACCAGATCGTTCTCCCAATGATTTCTTTTTGTGGGGTTATGTAAAATCCAAAGTGTATGGTCATAATAGGGCTAATAATCTGGATGAGCTTCAAGTAAAAATACGAGGGGCTTTCCAAACTGTTAGCCCTAATATGTTAGCCAATGTCAGACGGGGATTTTACGAACGCCTAGACTTCTGTCTAGCACAAGAAGGTGGTCTTTTTGAACACTTGTTATAACTTTTTTTTATTTAGAGTAATATTATAGTTTTTTTTGGGTTTAGAGAATTTATTTATTTTTAGTTTTGGCTTGTAAACACACTCAAATAATAAATATTTAAGTATTTTTATTTTAAATGTTACCTTAAGTGAAGGTAAACACTTAAAATGAAAATAATAAATACTCGGCACTACTCGCGTCGTATTCCCAGTCTGTCACGACCGACCTGTCCAAGCACAACTGCAAACTAACAACTGCGTACTGTCTGACCAGCCGACTAGCCTGCAGTGACTCTCCAGTACGAACGCAAAACGGGTAAACGTAAATTCGTCCGGCAACTTCCTATGTTACTAGTAGCCTGGTCTTCTCTGTATAATACTGTTGCGGGCCCGTGTGGACTCGACCTAACCTCACAATATGGCCCGCCCTCGTATGACCTTAACATCGCATAGACACCGCAATGATTCATTCGTTCGAGAAGAATCGAGTCCCACTGGAATGGACGAGTACATACGAGAACATTCGAAAACCTTCTCTACGCACCTAACGATCTATGGACAATTCTAGAGTTCTTTACCTGTCGGTATAAAAGCCGGCGGCGGTGGCCTACAGGGGGCAGTTATAAATATACAGTTGACGCGCTAAAATTCAAAATAACTTCTTAGTTATAAATCGTTTGTAAATAGTTCTATAAGTCTTTTATCGTTATTATTTTTGTTAATTAGTGTTAAATAAATAGTGTTTAAATAAATTGTGACTTTCTATCCACACGGACCGACGAAAAACGTAACAATTGGTGTCAAGTGTGGCGTGTGTGATAGACTAGTAAAATAAAAAGACAGACAATGGCTCCGAAAAAATTGTTGAAAGACTTGAAAGTGTCGGAATTAAAAAAGCGTTCTGGAAGAGAGGGAATGCGAAACAGATGGAAAGAAAAGCATTTTGCAAGCTAGACTAAGAGACGTTTTGGTGGAGGAAGGTGAGGATCCTGACACACATTTGCTTTGAGTTGGAAGGTGACCTTGACTCGTGCCTACAAAAATTAGACGACAACTTGAACAATTTGAATAGTAAAATAATTGACTTGGAATTTAATTTAGAAGAGAAAATCAGTGATAAAATTATGGAAAATTCCCAGGATTTAATCAATACATTAGAAGATAAGATCATCGAAAATTCTAAAGATATACAGGCCAGCTTTAATAATAAAATAGTAATTTTGGAAGAAAGTTTTAACAATAAAATAACAGAGATTGAGGAAGATGTAAATAGAAAAATCGAAATTTTAAAACAAGAAATAGCAAAGGCAAATTCACCAAAATGTCAAGAAACATCGGAGGCACCGAAACTAGTCGAAAATAAGTATATCTCAAAGTCAGTTATTAAGCCTCCACAGTTTGACGGAAAGACCGCTTGGGCCAATTATTTTTGCCAGTTTGAGGCCGTTGCGAGAGCGAACGGATGGACAATCGCTGAAAAGGCTACCGCTTTGACTGTCGCACTGCGAGGAGATGCGACTGATATTCTGCAGACATTGTCACCATCGGAACAGGGAGATTATCAGCAATTGGTACGACATTTAGAAATGAGGTACGGCCAAGCTCATTTGGAACATGTCATTCCCAGCTAAAAAATCGCATTCAAAAGTCAAATGAGTCTCTGCAGGAGTTTGAAGCCGACGTAGCCCGCCTCGTTCGCCTTGCGTACCCTGCTACGCCAGAGAATGTTATGGAGCGGTTGGCAGTACAGGCATTCTCCGACGACTTACGTGACAACGAGACAAGACAAGCACTTCTCCTAGCCCACCCAACGCACTTGGTGGATGCTTTAGCACGTGCCCTAGAATTTGAGGCCGCGAAACAAAGTTCTCGGTCTTTAGGAAGAGTACGGGCCATCGACGAATGTTCTGACGAATCCGTGGAAGGGATTATTCGGAAGATAATGGACCAGTACATGGGCAAGAAGGGACCGATCGTTGCTGGAACTGCGGACAGGTGGGACACGTGCGAAGCCGTTGTAAGGAGAAGAACGAAGAACCGGCTTCGTCGAGGTCGGAAAACTACTAAGGGTCGAAATGAAGGGGCACACGTCGACCTGCACCCAACATGCCCCAACGAAAACTGTTCAAGTCGCCTCGCTACAACACAAATTCAACAGCATTTTTGTGGATGGTTTTGTTGATGGAGAGTTCCGGACCATGCTGTTGGATACAGGTGCGACGAAAACTATCATCAGACCGGACATTCTTAAAACATCGAAGAAGGTTAAAACAACACAATGGCGACTACGTACTGCTACGGGGGGCTCCGCTGCTGTCCATGGAGAAGTAAACCTTAATTTTGTTATTGGGAGCACCAGTTTTGAACATCCAGTGTTAGTAGCAGATATCGAAGATGAACTTATTCTCGGAATGGACATCATGACCACTAGAGGTTTTGAGCTAAACCTCAAACAAGGAATTTTGAAAATAAATGAAGAAGAAGTGGTTCTGCATCGAAAATGTGAGGAGACGCTTCGCGTGGTGGTAGCAGAAGATGTTTCGATCCCTGAGCGCTGTGAGATATTTTTGGATGGTTGCCTAGAAGGTAAAATGAATAATGGGAGTATTATTCTGTTGGAGCCAAGGAACCATGACAGCGAAATAGGACGAGGGATCGCTGTTGGAAAAGCCCTGCTACGAGCGAAGAAAACTGTACCGGTGAGAGTAATGAACACGAATTATTATTCTGTATCCTTGAAGAAGGGAACCCTCTTAGGGTACTGTTGTTCGGTCTCCTCAGTCGTTCGAAGCGTGGAAGCCTCCAAAGTTTCGACTTCAAAAATTCCGGACAAAATGGTGAAGGAGTTAGTAAACGTTAAAGGATTATCTCCCGAAAATAGAAGAAAATTGAGAAACCTGATAATCAAGTATCAAGATGTGTTTGATAAAGGAGAAGCAGGACAGAGAGGTCGTACCAATTTAGTACAACACAAAATTGATACCGGAGATGCACGACCAATCAAACAAAATCCGAGAAGACTTCCGCTCGCCAAACGTGAAGAAGCTGATAAAATCCTTCGAGAAATGAAAGAAGAGGGTGTCATCGAACCATCTAACAGCCCGTGGACATCGCCGGTAGTACTAGTAAAGAAGAAAGACGGTACCACCAGGTTCTGTGTTGATTATCGGCAGCTCAATAATGTTACCAAGAAGGATAGTTATCCCCTGCCGAGGATAGACGATACTCTAGACACGCTGGCGGGGTCAACGATATTCTCTACGTTAGATCTGAAGAGTGGATATTGGCAAGTCGACATGGCGCCGAAAGACAGAGAGAAGACAGCGTTCTCGGTGGGCTCCGGACTGTGGCAATTTACCGTCATGCCTTTTGGATTGTGCAACGCGCCAGCTACCTTTGAGAGACTAATGGAGTCTGTGTTAAAGGGACTATCCTGGATACCTGTTTGGTGTACCTGGATGACATCATAGTGGTTGGGAAATCCTTTGACGATCATCTGAAGAATTTGGAAGAAGTTTTCAAGCGACTAGGGAGCTCTGGTTTGAAACTTAGCCCCAAGAAATGTCATCTGTGTCAAGAAAAGGTACACTACTTGGGCCATGTAGTCTCCTCCCAAGGAGTTGCGGTAGATCCACAGAAGACCAAGACAGTGGAAGAGTGGCCGATACCTAAAGATAAACATGAACTACGAAGCTTTTTGGGACTATGCACATACTATCGCCGCTATGTACAGGGTTTTGCCACCATCGCAAAACCATTGACCAGACTTACCGAAGGCGAGAGGCGTTTCTCTTGGGACTCAGATTCTGACGAGGCATTCCGAAAATTGAAGAAGGCCCTGACTAGTGCGCCCATACTTAGCTACCCTCTTGGCAACGGAAACTTTATATTGGATACCGACGCTAGCAATGTTGCGTTAGGCGCTGTTCTGTCTCAGATCCAGGATGGTCAAGAAAAAGTTATTGGTTATTTTAGTAAGACCTTGTCAAAACCGGAAAGGAACTACTGTGTAACCAGACGAGAATTACTAGCAGTAGTTAAAGCAGTGGAACACTTCTACAAGTATCTCTATGGAAGAAAGTTCTTGTTAAGAACAGACCATGCTGCTTTGAAATGGCTGTTGCAATTTAAGAATCCTGAAGGGCAGGTAGCTAGATGGATTGAACGATTACAAGAATTTGACTTCGACACAGAACATCGAGCTGGGGCAATCCATCGGAATGCCGACGCACTTTCCAGAAGACCTTGCGCTAAGGACTGTAAGCATTGTTCCCGAGCTGAAGAGAAAGAAGTGAAACTCCTAAGAACAACTGTGGTTAATGATAGTTGGCAACCCGAAGATCTTGCAAATGACCAAACCAGTGACCCAGAATTAGGTTTAGTAATTAACTGGAAAAACGCAGGCCAAAGACCAACGTGGGAAGAAGTCTGCAGATATTCGCCGAACGTAAAGTCATACTGGGCTCAGTGGAATTCTTTGGTAATAGATAACGGACTACTTCGCCGTGTGATCGAGAGACCGGAGGGACAAGAAGAGAGAAGGCAGATCGTCATTCCAAAGAAGAGGGTCCCAGAAGTATTGGAGGAAGTTCACAATGGAACCAGCGGTGGACATCTTGGTGTTACCAAGACACTTGGCAAGCTGCGTGAACGGTTCTACTGGGTGAACTGCAAAGAAGATGTGAGGGCCTGGTGTAAGAAATGTGACATTTGCGCAGCCATTAATGGGCCACAAAAGCGTGGTAAAGCCCCTATGCGCCAGTACAATGTTGGTAGTCCCTTCGAACGAATAGCGATCGACGTGGCTGGTCCTTTCCCGGAGACGAACGATGGCAACAAATACATTGTGGTAGTAATGGATTACTTCAGCAAATGGGTCGAGGCCTACGCGTTGCCAAATCAAGAAGCGTCCACGATTGCTGATGCCCTTGTTAAAGAATGGATCTGCAGGTTTGGTGTTCCCATGGAGCTTCATTCAGATCAGGGAAGAAACTTTGAGTCCAATCTGTTCCAAGGCGTCTGTGAAGTCCTGAACATCCGCAAGACCAGGACGACTGCTCTACATCCACAATCCGATGGGATGGTTGAACGCATGAACAGAACTATCAACCGTTATCTGGCCAAAGTAGTCTCTGACCACCAAAGAGACTGGGACAAATTTCTTCACCTGTTCCTGTTGGCCTACCGTTCATCCGTCCAAGAATCTACAGGGCAAACTCCAGCCAGCATCGTTATGGGACGGGAAGTGCGCCTACCCTGTGATCTGAAATTTGGTTGCCGACCGGGAGAAGAAGTCGCCGGAGAAGATTATGTCCACACACTACGTCAAAGGATGGACGACATTCATCAGAGAGTCCGCCTAAATATTCAAAGTGCTAGTGACCGAATGAAGGAACACTACGACATTCAAGCTGAGCATGGAGGATACCAACCAGGGAAGTTGGTGTGGCTATATAACCCGCAGAGACGTCGTGGGTTATCTCCGAAGCTACAATCCTCGTGGGAAGGGCCATACGAAGTCATGGATAGAATTAATGACGTCGTATACCGTATCAGAAAATTGCCAAAAGGAAAACCGAGGGTAGTCCATTTCAACCGTTTGAGCCCCTACCAAGGCGAAATAGAAGATCGTGCTGGGACCGTGAGAACCTGCAGCTTTGATCCCCCTGATTCGGAGATGTCCTTTGACGATTTCATGGCCCGATACAACAGCAGTGAGAAGGCTCGCTATGGTGTAACCAAAGAAGATCAACGAGACCTCTTTTCCGTGCCTCCTGATTATTCGCTCGCTCATTGTGTGGCTCGAGATTTGCGGATGTCCAGAGGAATCGCTGCGACGTTCAATGAGAAGTTTGGGCGTGTCGGAGAACTACGCCGACAGGATCCAGAGGTTGGAAGCGTCTTGAGGCTAACCGACAATGCACATGGTCAAGCAAGGCACATCTTCTACCTGGTCACCAAGGAATGGTCCCCGAGTAAGCCGACTTATCTCAATCTATGGAAGACCCTGATTGAACTGAGAGAAGCCCTGCTAAACAACAACATTGCACGATTAGCCATTCCGAAGCTGGCGTGTGGACTCGATGGTTTGAGTTGGCGTACAATCCGGAACATGATTGAAGTCTTGTTCAGATTTACGGGAATCGAGATCCTCGTTTGCTGCTACAACCCAAAGCTGAGATCGGGAGAGAAAACTGTAGACTGCTATTTCTACCAGACTTCGCAATGTACCAGGGGCCAGCTTTGCAAATACCTTCATTCACCGTATACATCTCGGGACGAGCATGTGCCTAAGAAGGGGGCAGTGTTGCGGGCCCGTGTGGACTCGACCTAACCTCACAATATGGCCCGCCCTCGTATGACCTTAACATCGCATAGACACCGCAATGATTCATTCGTTCGAGAAGAATCGAGTCCCACTGGAATGGACGAGTACATACGAGAACATTCGAAAACCTTCTCTACGCACCTAACGATCTATGGACAATTCTAGAGTTCTTTACCTGTTGGTATAAAAGCCGGCGGCGGTGGCCTACAGGGGGCAGTTATAAATATACAGTTGACGCGCTAAAATTAAAAATAAATTCTTAGTTATAAATCGTTGTAAATAGTTCTATAAGTCTTTTATCGTTATTGTTTTTGTTAATTAGTGTTAAATAAATAGTGTTTAAATAAATTGTGACTTTCTATCCACACGGAACCGACGAAAAACGTAACAATACCTAAACTAAAAAAACATTATTAAAGAATATACTCACCACAATCTTTGTCAGCTCTTTGAATCCCGTTTGTTTGTCAGCACTATGCAACAAAATTTCTTTACCATCCCTAGCAATCAATGCGATATATCCTGATCCTATTAGAGTTACGGGAGCTCTTCCAGGAATGTTAGAATCTTGATTCCATTGAAGTTTTTCACCTGAAAATATTAAAGAAAAAATTGATCTCTTCTCTAGAAATTCAATTTTTTAATATTACCATCTAGTTTAACTTCGGTAATAACCAAATCAGTGTCTTGTACTGTCAGGACGTAAGGCTCAACAACTTGCAAGTCTTTTACTGGTTCTGCTACATTGACCAAACCGTAGAACGCATTGTTTTTGTAGACGCTTACCTAGAAAAATCATTAAAGAACAATGAAAAGTTAATAAAAAAAAAATCTTAAATTAATTACATTTCCTTCATTATCACCAACAAACAGGTGCCCATTAAAGTATCTAACTCTCCAGTACTCGACGTTTTCATTCTTTGTCAACTCCTGCTTCAATTGCAAAGTGTTTAAGTCGTACAACTTGATAGAACCGTCGCTGGATGAACTGTACAACGTGTCGTCACTTGCAGCAAGACTGTACACCGGCGCTACGTGACCTTGGACTTCGGCTTGTTTCAGCAGGTCCAAGGACCATAACTACAATCAGATTTTTTATTGAAATGCTGATTTTTAAGGGTTTTTTTGGCTGGTACCTTAATTTTACCGTCGTCTCCGGCACTGTAGAGTTTTCCTTTGTGAAACAAGAGAGCGTTGACATCTTTGTCATGCTTGTCAGCGTCACCGGCACGGCATGCTACAGTAAGCGGCATAGTTTTCTATAACAAAAATGTATTTTCTCAAATTCTTTTGGAGTAAGATTTTGTTTTTAGAAATGCCATTTTATTTTACTTTAGAAATTAGAAACCATAAACACTAAATTTGTTTTGAGAATTTTTTTATATGTATATGCACATTATTTATTTATTTCTTGGCATTGTCATTCGTTTTGGCAGCTTGCAAATGTTTACCAGCAGACCTTGCAGTCGAACATTGTTCTTTTTAGAACCTTTTTTAGTGCGAAGTGTACGTTAAGATAGCTTAGTAGCCGTAAAAAACTCATCGTAACTTTATTAGAATATTTTACAAAACGTAACATATTACACAGGGCGTTTCAAACTTTCACTAAAATATCAACATTTTGTTTTCTCTCGTATAATTGACAGATAGGAACTTTTATTTTTATTTTAGAAAGATATAATAAAAAGTCAAATAATTTAGCTGAATATTGCTTAAAAAATCATCAAAATCGGCCCACTAGAACAATATAGGTATTTGAACTTTAAAAAAACAAAATTTTAATAGTAGTGTACAAAAAAATACTGTTACTTTTTGAAGTGTTATTTATACCTTAATTAAAAATATCTGTTATTTAATTAAATCTAAATATTATTCTGTTCTCTATTGTTTAGTTTAGAAGAAATAGCACATAAAACATAGAAATTATTAATGGATATTTAGAGTTGGAGTGTGTGTAATGTAAACCTGGAGAAAAATAAACTTTTACTTTTAACAGCACACGTGTGTTTCCAATTTTCAACATAAGCATGGGCGCCGGAAGAATGAAATTTAGGGGGGGGGGGGCCAAGGTAAAAATGAATAAAAAATTAAAACACATTTTTGGTAATTATTGGGAAAACTGGAACCGATTTTCACCAAAATTGGTATACACCCTATTTTGAAGTCGTAGACTACGAATCTGAACTTTTTCCTTTCGGCGTCTCTCAGAAAAACGGAAAATAATTCAATATCGAATTTTTCTTAATTTCTCATATTTTTAAGGTTTTCTAGCACATATTTTATTAGGTATTCAATAATCAATGGTGTTTTTGCTATTTTCTGTTGCTTTTTTAACCAATTCTATGCATAATAGAGGAAAATTTGCTAAAATAAATTTTTAACAATCTGAAAATGTTAGGTTATAGCTTCGTTCGGGTTCTTGTTATTACCAATTCTGAACCGTCCTAGAACTCTGCAGCGTATGCGCAAATGAAATAATGTCTTCATATTTCCTTCTGCGCATACGCATCACAGTTCTAGGACGGTTCAGAATCGGTAATAAGAGAAACCCGAAGTAAGCTTATGTGTTTCTGGCATTTAAAGCAATGTTGCTAAACCTAAATTTAGCGTGCTTTTTTCGCTCATTCTGGAATTACGAAAGGGGGTCGCCAGAAGAACGGCTCCTTCCCATAAGTGCTATTTTACCAACGAGATCTGACTATTTATACCCACGAAGTTGCACGAAAGAGTTTTGATTGCATTGGTTACAACTTTTTTTGATATAATATAACAACAAAAGATTAACACCCTCCGCAAAGAAGTTAAAACCAATGCAATCAAAACTCTTCCGCGTAACTTTGTGGATATAGTATATATATTTAATTATTGTCGATCTCATAATAGGTAATTTATTTAATATCCCTAATCACCCGAAAAAATAGAAGATATGGCAACGTTGTAAATTTATGTTTAGGTCTAGAATATATTTGTCTCTCTCATTACATAGGAGAGAGAAAGAAGCATATATCAAATGTCAAACTTCCATCTGGTCTCAATTTTCTTTGTTATTTTGTTAAGAAAAGTGTTTTTCAGTAAAATATTGGACATTTTTCTATCCCCAATCAAGTGTGGCTTTTAGATAAACTATAATATAATGAAAATACAGTGATATTATTACTTTATAGGGCCGAAATAAAGAAAAATTCAATGTTGAAATAATTTTCGGTTTTTCTGAAAAACGGTAAGAGGCCGCCAAGAAAAAAATAGATTCGTAATCTACGACCTCAAAATAGTGTGTATAATAATTTTGGTGAAAATCGGACGATTTCCAGTTTTCCCAATAATTACCACAGTTTTTATTATTTTACAGGTAGGTAACACCTAAATATTTCATAATAATGATTATTTTTTTACAGATGGATGTAAGAAGATAGCTTTTATTTCTATTGTTTTAGTGATCCAGGGGGGGGGCAAATGCCCCCTCTTGCCCCCCCTTAAAATAACTTTTTAGCTTGAGATATTTTTTCACTGATAAACTAAAATTTGTTGTCCAAATGTTGTTTTGAATTTTCTACGTTATTGTTTTAATTTTTCAAGAAGATAATTAAAGAGCTGCGAATATGTCGGGAATATTCTGTTTAAATTCTCCATTACAGATGCCTAAGATTGTACTTGGCCAGTTATTTTTAACGCAATACGGTATGTAACGCGTGTTCTTTGAGTAGTTTCAGATGAAGGCTTTAAATCTGCTAAAGTTTGATGTAAAACATGCCGGTTTAATTTTAATACGTCTAGTAACGATTTAGTTCTTGAATGAACAGAGTGGCCAAATTATCGGAACAAAAATTATATCTAATTTGTTAAATTTCTGTCGTTCTAAAGTTCTGTCTGTTTTTTTCTAAAGTTTAAGACATTATTTACAAAAAAGATTGTTTAAATAATAAATTTGTATGAAAATAATGTTTATAATAATGTCAAAAAAATATTAAAATAATAATTATGTATTGTTTTAACTTGTTTAAGAACCGTTGACGTCCTGGTAATAGTACAATAAAAACTATTTATTTCAACAAATTAGAAAGAAACAGACAAATTTAATAATATTATAATTAATAAAACAAAACAAAAAAAATAATTTAAAATATTATTCACTTTCCGTTTTTCGATAAGTTAAAATTTAAAAATAAAATATTATAAAATTCACAAACGATTGAATCAAAATACAGAGCGAGTCTTAAATAAGAGAAAATATTTTCAGGGCTGGTAGATCTCGATAAAAGAAACATATTTTCTCTTTACCGTTTTTCAAATATGTCCAAAATAACCGAATTATTCTACTTTGAAAATTTCCAAAAAAAATATTTTTTGCTTAAATTTTGAAAACCGCTGGGTCTTTGCTGGGTTTTCTTTCTTGTAAATTTAATCTACTACCTATGTTGCCATATTATCAAGAAATTATGTTTTTTAGCTAAAGACTAAAAAAATTTACAAAAAATTAAAAAAAAAATAATCGTGTTTTGGGGGGTGGAAATATACCACTCCTAAAAATATTTGCGCTTTTTTAAGACTCACCCTGTACAAAAGATTACATTTTTGCAAAATTTTTCAAAATATTAAAAGTAAATACCAGAAAAAAAATACGATTGGGAAAAAAAATGTTTTTAGAAATAATTCACTAAAAGTAAAACATTAATGAAGTTTTGATGAATTTATTTAAATTAATCTTATTGAATATCATAAAAAACTGTTATATATTTTTCTTAATGTTAAATATGAATAAAAAATATTTCAACAAATTTATTTAAAAAAAAATGAAATAAAAACTTACCAATAAATAATTTTTTGCACAAGAAAAAAACAAGTTTTCACTTAACTCTGTCTGGATTATATACCAGTGTAAAGTCGATGAACTATTGTCTTTGGCTAACTTTAGTTGAGTTCTGTATGTTCTCCACGGTACTCCCGATCTTTATATATAGTTGTCCCGAGGGGGTCCAAACGATCTAGGAACGTATAGGCACGTTCCCGTTGGAAGGAAAAAAAGCATGCGTCTTGCTTTTGTTTTTCGTCTCCTCGCTTACACCATAGTTAATTTTTTGGCACACTTGATATCAGGTCGATAGTCTTTGATTTTTTTTCAACAAGAATTTTTAGACCTAAGAAAATGGATAATTTATTTTTGAGAGTTAATATCAGAGGTCGAAGAATTTTTAGTCGAAGAAAAAATATTTTTGGACCAAAGAAATAAGGACAATTTGGTGAAAATGTAAGTTCGTAAATATAGGTTGGTTTGGTTAGGTCTACAAACAAAACACACCAAAAAAAATGTTTAATGCATTTTTACTCAATAAATATCGTAATACCCTATGATCGAAAAAAAACTGCGTCAAAGACGGCTGGGGAATGATAATCGACGACAATTTTGGCGAGATGAATCTCTAGACTTTATTTACCAAAAATTGACATAAAACTTTGTCAAAAGTTAAGAGTAATTATAGGAAGATTAAGAAAGAATACAACTACACCATTTAAAAATTATTTTACACTAATATAAATAAATTACAACCTTTTTTAAGTAATATTAAAAAAAAATATCATGGATTGTCATTCCCAGTCGTCTTTGACATTTTTTTTTCAATCGTATGGTATAACCGGATATCGGAATTTAACTGTAACATATATAGTATGAAAATAATATGAAAATGAAACACAATTCTTGGGCGAGCCAGTGAAAGTTAATTTTTGGAAAATATAGCTCTATAATTCAGAAAGAAATCTGTCAAATGATACGGGGTGAGTCATAAATAATAGCAAATATTTTTAGGGCTAGTATAATTCGAGGTTTTTTTCGCGAAAAGCATGAAAATTTTGATTTTTTTTTTATTTTTTTTGAGTTTTTAGTTAAAAACATAATATCTTGATAATACGGCAATATAGATAGTAAATTAAATTTACAAGAAAGAAAACCCAGAAAAGAACCTGTGAATTTCAAAATTTAAGCAAAAAAATTTTTTTTTCAAGATGGTAAAGAATAACTAAAATATATGTTTCTTTTATCAAGATCTACCAGCCCTTAAAATATTTGCTCTTATTTAAGACTCACCCTATATAAATAAGGAAAAAAAAATAATAATTGCAGTTAGGGTATTTATAATATTAATAGTAGTAATAATGTTACTAAACAAGACTCAAAAATTACTAAAAATGTTTATTTAGATTTCATTAATATATTTGAATAAATTATTTTTTGCCTTTCTTCTTCTTTTTTTGAGCATCTGGCCATGGAAAGCCTCGACATTTTAACAAATCTTGAACGTTATGACAGGTGGTGTATGCATTTTCCATGGCAACCTCTGTAAATATGTCCATATTGCATCTGGAACAACATAATTAATACAAAAACCTTCTTTATACACCATTTTTTACACTTTTCTACACATAATGTTTTACCTAACGTCTTACATGTTCAGTCAAAACGTATCAGGTAAAAACAGTGCGTTTAATATATTACAGGATCTTTAATAAATGACTTCTATAAAGATCTAATATTTTTGTATAGTTTCATAATATAATGTAGTTTTATTAAATTGTTTTATTGTGGTTGTTATTGTGAATTTTATTAATAATTAGGTACCTACTGATTATAAATTTATAATTTCTAAAATAATTAATTTTGTTTTTTTTTTAATAATTAATTAAATTAATACAATATATACATCATTCTTCATTATTTTTCTCAAAATCAATGACCACACGTGCCAACACATACCAAAAATAAAACAAGTCTATAAAAAATAAAGAAATACAATTGATCTTATAGTCGTTAAATCAGATATATAGTTTTTTCACACATTCAGATCCTATTTTCTGGCTCACGATGTTGTAAATTTATTTCTAAACCGCGAATCTAAAATTAATTTATTGCCTATAATAACGAAAGGAAAAGAAACAGTTCAGAAAGAAACACAAAAGAACGTTAAATTATGTATAATTTGTTAAAACAATAATAAATAAAGAAAAAAAAACTTTGTTACCTGGCCGTCTTGGATCTAGATTTCTTACCCCCGCTTTTCTTCGGCTTTGAGGGTGCTTTTTTCTTGTTTTTATCGCCATTTTTATTATTTTTTAGCTTTTTCTTTTTGCCTTTTGGCATTTTGAACAAAAAAACGCAATATTACTGAAAGCTGATTTAGGGTAGGAGACAAAAGAATGCATATATTGATAAAACTGTGTTGTTGGATCAATGTTACCAGTAACAACAGTTATTACTTTTTTTTTTATTTTTAAGTGTGTTGAATTAAATCAAAAAATTAAATATTTCTCTGTGATTTGTTAAACTATACAGAGCATAAGAATTTTCGTAGCCAGTATACGTAGGGTGGTCTGTATTTTAGTGCATGCGACAGAGATAAATATAAATGACCGGTTGCCAGACAGAGAGACAAAATAAAAAGCGGCATACAGTGTTGCCGCTTTTTACGTTTGTAGGGAACGGTGTGCAGAAAAAATAAACTATTTTAAAAATGAAGATAATATATCTAAATATAATCTATTACAGAGCTGTAGTAAAATGAGTAACTAATTTGTAATCGGGAGATTAATATATTTAACAGAAATTGATATTTAAAATGTAATTCTAACTAGCTTGACAAACAATGTCTTCCCTCGGCCGAAATCAACAATCTCCGACATTCAACTGTTTTCAAAGCCTACTACTCCGCTACTCGTAAACATCAGCGGACACGGGGTGCAGGCACGGCGTGAAAATGACTGCCTATCATAAGGATCATAGGCGTCGATAACAAATTGTGAAAAATAAAGTTCCAACCCTAGATGGACAATTTTCGTAAACGTCTACTTGTGCGGTTTGGAATTTTGATGCAAAATCCGGCAATACTGCATGGAAGAAATGTACCAACCCAACTTTTGTCTCTTTTTAATACATTTGATTTTACATTAAGCTGTCTACATCACTGTTTTACACGTTAAAATCTAGACAACGCAGTTTTGATGACCAGATCGGTATATTATGTACTAGCGTGTACCCGCAACTTCGTTCGCGTCTAATTAATCATTTGTACTGGTGATTATAAAGCAAAGCTAGAATTTCCATTAACAGACAAACTGGATAAAATTTTCTCACACTTTATGTCAGCATGAGAAAAAACAATATGGCGATATTATTATATAACTTGGTAATATTTGAGGGATAGTTTCATCTCGTTGAAATTTGACTTTCGAAAAATCCGTTTGCCAAAAATAAGCTTTTTACGTCAAGCAGTTTAAGCGGAATCGTGGTTAATCAATTACCCAACTTCTTGGAACACCCTGTATGATTTTTTAAAAAATTTCAAAATATCTAAAAAACAAAATAAATTATGCGTATCCAAGCGTTTTCCCGAAAGATTAACCGTTTTTTAAATAACAAATATTGTAATATTTGAGGGGCGTTTTCACCCTCTTGGAATTTGAGATTCGAGAAACCCCTCCTTATCGAACCTCTACACCCCACAATCAATCCGTTTGCCAAAAATCAGCTTTAAACGTCAAGCAGTTTAAGCAGAATCGTGATTACCAAATGGTCATATTTTATTAAACACCCTGTATAAATTTTTAAAAAAACTTAAAATATGTAAAACAACAAAATAGAATATACGTGTTTAAGCGTTTTTTTGAAAACTTGACCGTTTTTTAAATAAAAAATATTGTAATATTTGAACGGTGGTTTGAAACTGGAATTTCGAAAAATCCCTTCTTATCGAACCTCTACACTCTAGAATCAACCTGTATGCCAAAACTGAGCTTGTTACGTTGAGTGGTTTGAGCAGGATCGTGATTAATCAGTGAGTCAGTCACTTAAGGATTTTATATATTAGTATAGATCTGTGGTTTGTTGTTGATTTGGTCATAGGTAATAATAAAAGTATGTACTTATTAGTTTCAACTTGTTTATTACATACCTACATATATTTCTAAAATAATTGTTCTATATTTCTCTGAGTTAATCGTTTTAAATATGAGGAAATAGGTTTACGTGAGAAAACTTAATAAACAAGTTAAGTGTGTTTAAAACAGCCTTCTCTGTTTTTAAGAAAAACAAAAACAAAATAGTTGTGTAAACGTTTAGTATACAATTCGTTTAGAAAAGCTTAAAAAATGTCATCATATCCGTGATTTTTGGCACGCTACAAGTACTTTTTCCAGAAAAAAAATCACTTTTATGGTATCCATTGGTAATTAAAAAAACAATGCTATTTTTAAACCAGAATCTAAACCAGTCGATTTTGATTTTTTATTAAATTTATAAGACATATAAGGCCATATTATTTTTGGATAGGAAAAACATATGCCATGAAATTTAGTATTGTTCTTTAGATTTAGTAAGAAAAGTAGTAGGTATTCAAATGATTATTATTGTAAAATCTGTAGTTTTTCTACACTACACTGATGTTAATTCTTTTAAAAATTATCAAGCATTCCTTGTTAATTCAAAAAATATATTTTTTCATAATAATTTCAACTACTAGTGATTAAGGATATAGATATGTTTATAAATATTTAACATTTTTCCAAGATACATCTGATGAGGGTGTTCATTTTTATGTTATGATGATATGTCCATATGTTTTAAAAGAAATAAACATTGTTTATTGTTTTTAAAAGCGTTCTTATTTATATTTGACAAACTTTTTCTGTTTTTCACCAAATGTTTTGGTCTCTAACTGTCATCTTCAAGGCACGTGCGACTCAAAATCAATAATATACTGATGTTTTCTTTTGTAAAGGTGTTCTGATTTATTTTTTGACACACTATTTCCAGCTTTTACTGTTATTTTTGTCTGTAATCTGTTATTTTCAGGCACGTGTAACTCTAAATCAGGCTGGTTCGACAACCCGATGCAAGATGATCTTGACAATATGGTGAAATATCCGTTAAATGCTTTTAAAAAAAGAAAATATGAAATAATTTATTTTTTTTACGAAAATAAATGAATGTAGGACGATATAAAAAAATACGTGCGGTTGTTTTTTTCAAGTTTTTTTGCAGTCAAAACATACGAGACGATCAACTTAAAAATATTATTTTGAGATGTAAAATATTGCAATAAATCTTATTTTAGAACTTATATTTTTTATTTTGAGAAATTTATGATTTATATATTTTCAACAAAAAACCACTGTTTCTTTCATTTTTTTCTTTTTGCTAAATATAATCTAGTACTTATTATAAAGATGTAATTTTTTTAACTTTTTATAAAAAAACTAGCGTATACCAGCGACTTCGTTCGCGTCGAATTAATCATTTGTAATATACAGTGGTGGCCAAAAGTATGGAAACTTTTTTAATTTGTCATTTATGCTGAGAAATTAAAATATGAAATAAAACGACTTATATAATCGTGACCTACAAATAATTTCCTACAAAACCTAATATATTTAAATAAAAAATTACAGCTATCAAAAAATATATAAAAAATTATGAATATTTTCTTGGTCAAAAGTATGGAAACTTAAGAAGAATGTTTATTAAAATTCAAGATAATATAAAAATTACTAATATTTAGTGGAATATCCCTTTGAATTAATTACTTCTCTACATCTTTGTGGCATCGAATCGGTCAATCTCGTACAATCTTTACTGGAAATGGCCGCCCATTCAGTTTTTAGCACTTCCCATAATTCATTTTTATTTGAAATAGAATGGCTTCGAATTTTGCTATCCAAATGGTCCCATAAATTTTCTATGGGGTTAAGATCCGGAGACTGTGAGGGCCAATCCATTAGTGGAACGTTATGTTCATTTAACCAATTTTGAACAAACCGAGATTTGTGCTTGGGACCATTGTCTTGCTGGAACAACCATCTGAGTGGCATTTCTTCATCAGCATGAGGCAGCATATTATTCTCCAATGTGTCTTTGTACAAAAAACGGTCCATTATCCCATCAAGTTTAACAAGAGGACCAATACCTGAGCGAGAAAAACACCCCCATACCATTATACTCCCACCCTCATGTTTTACTGTGGGCATCTGGTACTTATGGCTGTACCGTGTACCTTTTGGCCTTCGGACATAACGTCTCCCGTCACTACCAAACAGTTGAAACTTGCTTTCGTCGCTAAACAGTACAGTGTTCCATTTCTGATAAGACCAGGTGAGATGATCTTGAGCAAATTTAAAGCGGGCCATCCTATTTTTCTTTGATATTAGTGGTTTCTTCACCGCAACTCTTCCAAAAAGTCCCATGTCATCCAACCTTCTTCTCACCGTGCGTGCAGACACCGCTATTCCCCTTTCACCCATTTCTCGAGAAATGTCTGTGGATGTTTTCTTGGATCTCCCATTGATATTCTCTTCATTACTTTCATTGTCCTGTTGCACAACTTTCTTGGTCTTCCTCACTTAAAAGCTGTTGAAACGTTCCATGTTTTATTAAATTTACGAATTATTTTTGAAACGGTGCCTTTTAAAATGTTTAAATTTTTACTTATTTGAATTTGTTTAAAAACGCTCTTGTATAATTCTACTATTTTATTTTTTAAATCCGTAGAGAAATATTTAGACTTGGGCATGATGTTTATATTTATCTGAAGCAAATCGTACCGTTTATCAGCTTAAACTAAATAATTTTAATGTATTTATTTATGGTTTCCATACTTTTGGCCACAAGAAATCTATTGTTCTCCTACAAAAACCGCTAAATAGATTTTTTTCGCTGTGTAATTTTTGGAATACTTTTATTTGCTGATAAGCTGTTCATTTATATTCCTGAGAGTTTAAGCATAGCAATATTTTCTGTGATATTTTAAAAAGTAAAAAGTTTCCATACTTTTGGCCACCACTGTAGATAAAGCAAAGCAAGAATTTCCATTAACATACAAACTGGATAAAATTATCTCACATTTATGTTAGCATAGGAAAAAAACAATATGGCGATATTATTATATAACTTGGTAAAATTTGATGGGTAGTTTCATCTCGTTGGAATTTGACTTTCGAAAAATCCGTTTGCCAAAAATAAGCTTTTTACGTCAAACAGTTTAAGCAGAATCGTGGTTAAGAAGGTACCCAACTTTTTGGAACACCCTGTATGATTTTTTAAAAAAATTCAAAATATGTAAAAAGACCAAATAAATTATGTTTGTCCAAGCGTTTTCCCGAAAGACTAACCGTTTTTTAAATAACAAATATTGTAATATTTGAGTGGCGTTTTCACCCTCTTGGAATTTGAGATTCGAGAAACCCCTCCTTATCGAACCTTATCGAAACACCCCACAGTCAATCCGTTTGCCAAAAATCAACTTTAAACGTCAAGCAGTTTAAGCAGGATCGTGATTACGCAATGGTCATATTTTATGAAACACCCTGTATAAATTTATAAAACATCTTAAAATATGTAAAACAACAAAATAGAATATACGTCTTTAAGAGTTATTCCGAAAAACTCACCGGTTTTTAAATAAAAAATATTTTAATATTTGAGGGGTGGTTTCACCCCCTTAGAATTCGAGTTTCGAAAAAATTCCTTCTTATCGAACCTCTACAACCTAAAGTCAATCTGTTTTCCAAAAATCAGCTTTTTACGTCAAGCGCTTTAAGCAGGATCGTGATTAATCAATGACCAGATTTTTCAAAACACCCTGTACACGTTTTTAAAAAATCTTAAAATAGGTAAAAAAAACAAAATAAAATATTCGTGTTTAAGCGTTTCTTCGGAAACTTGACCGTTTTTTAAATAAAAAATAAGGGGTGGTTTCACCCTCTTGGAACTGGAATTTCGAAAAATCCCTTCTTATCGAACCTCTACACCATAGAATCAAAGTTTACATTTTTGTTTCGACTTTTTTGCCATACCGTCAACTTTTTTTCTAACAAAGTTTTTTCAAATAAATTTTCAGAAATAGTAGAGGGAACGTGCATAAAAAATGAGCGATGGGACTCTAAAAAAATTGTACGAAGAGCTAAAAATGGCCATATAAAAAAGGCGAACGGACTTTGTTCGCCTGTTTATTAGTTGTCGTTGTGTCCGCCGAGCACGGTTCAAAAAATTGTACGAGTAAGTAAAAATCGCGAAATAAAAAAGGCGAACGAGACCCGTTGGGACTTCGTTCGCCTGTCTGATGGTACCCTACACGTACAAAAAATTGTACGAGCACCTAAACATGTCGAAATAAAAAAGGCGAACGAGATCCGCTCGGACTTCGTTCGCCTGTCTGACGGTACCCTACACGTACAAAAAATTGTACGAGCACCTAAACATGTCGAAATAAAAAAGGCAAACGAAAAGTGTAACCTTTCGTTTGCCTTATTTTATTTATCGACGAGCGAAGCAACGATCGATCGAGCAACTTCTCGGTCGATCTACTCGCTCGTCTTATGGGTCTCGTCTCTTTTCGACAAGACGAATCCCCAAGCTAAGGGCTGAGTCTCAACAGATCGCAGCGTGGAAACTGCTCTACCGAGTACAACACCCTGCCAGGTACGTAAGTCGTCTACAGACAATTCCGAGTTCCGACATCGAAACAAACGTTAATACCCATGATCGACCGCCGAACGGTAAGGTCGGACGTGGCAAGGATCGATCTCGCCGCCGACCGGTTACCGCACGCGGCAATTAGGGCTCGTGCGACGATCGACGCGAACGTCGACCGCCTAATAAAGTCACATTGTTTTGAGCCTTTCGACTCTCGGAACTCCAAGATATATCGTTGCCACCTTTGACTAGAAAGGATACGGCCTTATAGGCGTTCAGGCATAAACCCACGGATGGTAGCTTCGCACCATAGCCCGCTCGAGCTAGTGCGTGAACCAAATGTCCGAACCTGCGGTTCCTCTCGTACTGAGCAGGATTACTATCGCAACGACGAGTCATCAGTAGGGTAAAACTAACCTGTCTCACGACGGTCTAAACCCAGCTCACGTTCCCTATTGGCGGACATTTTATTCTGTAAACTTTGATAGAATCAACCTGTATGCCAAAATAGAGCTTCTTACGTTGAGTGGTTTGAGCAGGATCGTGATTAATCAGTATGTCAGTCACTTAAGGATTTTATATATTAGTATAGATTTATGTAGCATCTAACGCAGCCTGTATGACGTCACGGGTAGGTAATTAATTAGCCTTATTACCGATTATTCATGACAATCGCGCTGTAACATTGTAGAAAATCATATATGGCCACGCAACTCGCACCGAAAAAATCCTTACGAATTCGACTAAGTAGGCTGCTGTAGGAGTGCGATCGCCTGACAGAAAAACAGCCGAACATCTCTCACAGTATATTTCTGTACTCGCGTAGTCAGCACCAGTTTGAATTTTGTGAAAATTTAACAAAAAAAATCGTTTTGCACTTAGAAGTTTTTTTGTTTTAAGTAAAAGGTAGGTTAAAAAACTGTGTGTGTGTATATTTTTAAATTAAAAAAATGTTATGTATTTCGGGATTTTTTTTAGCCAAATATGGGTAAAATAGCGGCTATTGGTATCGACTTGGGTACTACGTACTCTTGTGTGGGGGTATGGCAGCATGGAAAAGTGGAGATTATAGCTAATGACCAAGGCAACAGAACTACCCCTAGCTATGTAGCGTTCACGGATACAGAGAGGCTTATAGGGGATGCAGCTAAAAGCCAGGTTTGTAAATTTCAAAAATAGATAAAATTCCTGAATTGATTGATGATATTCCCCATATAATTTTACATACAAAATGACAGCGGTCATAGCCACCGCTAACGCCGTTTTCTTTTCGATCATATTGTACCGTACGATCGAAAAAAAATCGGCGTCAGCGATGGCTATGGAATAAAATTCGTTGTCATTTTATATGTTCAATTATATGGACAATGCCATTGATCGTCATCGTATGATCATATCATTGATATCATCGTATGATATCAATGTAAAAAAAGGACGTCCAGTTGGCTTGGAAATGGCGATCTATGACAGTTCCCATATAATTTTACATACAAAATGACAGCGATCTTCATTTCATAGCCATTGCTGACGCCGTTTTTTTTGACCATATTGTATAAAAGGTTGTAGAGTGAACCTCTCAAATAAGAAATTTGAATATTCAGATTATATACTCATTAAAATTTAAGTCAAAAATCATTATTACAAAATGTAGCACTACTAACTATATTTTTTGACACAATTTGCTGTTATTGTAAACTGAGTTGGGAAAGAATAATATATTTAATACAAAATTAATTGTGTGCCATATTTTTACAAAATCTAAGTACAGTTTTGTAGTTTTTTTCTTTTTATATGCCTTTTCAGTGTTTTTTTTACTCTTATTCTAGTTAAAGCATCCCTTTACTAAACATAATATATTATTTCCACATGTAAGTGATTTGAAACTTTATACAGACTGTTCTTTGATCCACATAAAAGTAATCTTATTTCATAATAAATAGGACTCTATAATGAAAGCAAAATATTTTGGATTTGGAAACAGGCCAAGAATATAAGTCTCTCTCAGAATTTTCGTTACTTTATTATTAGACAGAAAACTCAAAATCGTTTTTCTTTAACAAATTTCATTATAACGTGGAAAGACTTATTAAAAATATAATAAATTGCGTAGGATATACATATAACACACTGAATTGATACGTTAACCCGAAAGATTATCTAACAGTTTATTAGATCTATGACCAAATTTGGGGAGGACCAAAATTTTTCAGGCTGACTCATTTATTTTGTCAAAGAGTTTTCTCGAAAAATGAAGATCAACGCCTTAAATACTTAATATTGTAGAGTATTATAAAATACCGTTCAAAGGTATGATCGAAAAAAATCGGCGACAAAGATCGTGGTCAGTCTTGAGACGTTATTTACTAAAAATTAAACGTAAAATTTGTCGAAAATTAACATTAATTATAGAAAGATTATAAAAAGGATAATACCTACGTTTCCAGGCATACAAATCTATTACCGAAAAATTGTTTTTTTATAGAATTTTAAGAGTGATAGTAAATTAACGATTGGCATACATTACTAACATCAACAGATGCATGAGCAATAGTACATTTATTTTTATTAGATTGTATTAAAAAAAGCTTCTTTTATTTTCCTTTTAGAGGCTATCGCTTCTTTCATTATAATTTTGGCATTGTTAAAATCTATTCTGTGCCCTGTGTCCCATGAATAATGACAAATCTTAAATAATAATAGCATAACATAAATAAACATAACATACGTAAAAATTAAAAACAAATTAAAAATAATAATACAGAAAGTTTGAGGCTTTTTGGTTTTACCTTATTAAGTAATTGTTATCAGGTAGTAATTGTTAATTTTGAACTTGCTATAATGTCATTTTAACAGAAAGTTAACGGTTTTTGTAGCCGTATCTGTTTAAAAAAAAACAAAGTGTTCTCGAATAGTTGCATTAAAATATTTTAAATAGTTTTTTTCTTTATTCTTTCGCTTCCGACGACGGAAAGAGATAAACTTTCCGAAACGTTAAGCATTTTTTTTGTTCGTTAGAGTAAAAAATAGTAATATTTATAGAACTACACCATTTAAAAATCATTTTTACTCAATATAAAATTAAGTTACAACCTTCTTAAAAAAATAAAGAATAGTGTAATGATGTCTAGGGCTTGACCTCGTCAAAATTATCATCGATCGTCATTTCTCGGCCGTCTTTGACGCCGTTTTTTTTTTCGATCGTATGGTAGATAAGCGCCATAAATAAATCTTAACAGAATGTGGAATCTAACTGGACTAAACGCATGCATTTTCAGCGATTTATCGAAAAATATCGGTGCATTTATTTTTAGAAAGATTTATAGTTAGGACGCCAATATTTTCTTAATGAAATCATCTGTTCTATAAACATATGTTCGTGAGTTTTTTCGTTTTTTTTTCTGTCAGCATGACCTCAAAATGGACCGGTACCGAGCAATAATGCCAAGTACCCATCCATATTCGGTCGGTACGACCTTATAATAAACTAATTCCACGCTTGACAGATATAGAAAACGAATGTTTTTACCCAGCAAATAAATACCTATATGTAAAAAATAAACTTGCATGTTATGCGTTTGATTATATTTATGTTTCAATTAATTTTTCAAAATTGAATATAATAAAAGAAGATTAGTAAGATACTGGCATAATTTTTAGCCGACCATACCAATGGGTATGGTAGTCTATTAAGACCGGCAAAAAAAGTTTTTTTAATTTCACTCAAAATTAGTTATTTGGGTCATAAATGACCTAAATATATATAATGTATATAATGTAATGTAAATAATGTCTATCTGTCTGTCTGTCCGTCTGTAACACAATAACTCAAAAACCGCTAAACCGATTTTAACCAAATTTGGCACAAAAATACTGTGGCACCCGAGGATCTGGCCATTAGTTTTTGATGGGGGTGGGGGGTTGGTAAGGGGGTATGGGAGGAGCTTTGTGTGTAAAAGTAAAAGTGTTTTGGTGTATTATGGTGATTTAGTGTTTTTATTTTGCTGTGTAACACCAAAGGTTCCAACCCTCAACTGTAATCTCTCCATACCCTAACCCTTCTCGAATCCGGATGAATTCCAAATCGTGACTCATCCGTGAAGAGAACATTGGCCCATTGTTCATTCGACAACTGAACATGATCTTAAGCCCACAAATATCGTACCTCTCGATTTGCTCTCGTTAAGGGTTGAGCTCTCCAGGGGCGTCTGCTTCTTAAGTTGACCTCTCTTAATCTATAGCGAATAGTGTCAGGACTAACGGTTACATATGTGTTTCCTGGAGAATTAAACTAAGCTCTGGTGCTGTAAGAGTCGGTCGGCGTCGATCATTTAATTGTAAAAAATGATCTTGCTGAGGGGTAGTAATGCGATGTCGCCCTGTGTGCCTTTCAGCAACATCACCACTTTCACAGTAGCGTGCACTTAATCGCGATATTACATTTTGCGTTGTATTTAATGCTCTAGCTACGTCGATTTGGCGCATTCCAGCTGCGAGCATACACATGGCCCTTAGCATTTCGTCTCTGTTAAGATGTCTACGCTCCATAATGTCGTTTAATAATAAACAGAGTTATTTGAATGAATTCTGGCCAGTTATCATAAAAACATAGCCAGTACAGGTTAAATTCGAACAATTTATGCTAGGTGCTTTTTATACATTTGACAAAAAATGCACAAACACTTCTGCAAATATCCCAAATTTAGAAATAATTGACTACTTCGTTTCAATCGAAGTAGAAAGAATCGGCCTACAAATATGTGGTTGTTTATTCAAAACATTTATTTTTAACTTTAATAAAATGATATCCCTAGATTTTTCCGGTGTGTATATTTTAGTATGGGCGGCTATACGTGCCTTCCGGCACCAATTTTTTTATATATAGCATAATACTATTATATAATTAGCATCCTACATCTCTGGATAGTGCACATTTTAAAAATATTCCGAAGAATTATCTTAAAAGACTCTTTTATTACGATTATTTTTTAAGCAGGGATTGTCATAAAATACTTTTACTTAAGAGAGCGTCAAAAATTTGCGTTTCTCCAATTTTCAGACACCTGTAGATATGTAGAAATTTTGATTTATTTAATCTAAAAATGATTATATTTCAATTATTCTTATTAATAACACTAAAATATCAAAAAATAGGTCGCTATGAACCCCAAAAACACGGTTTTCGATGCCAAGCGTCTGATTGGTCGAAAATTTGACGATGAGAAGATCCAGCAAGACATGAAACACTGGTCTTTCACCGTGGTAAACGATGGAGGAAAACCGAAAATTCAAGTAGAGTATAAAGGAGAGAACAAGAAATTTGCTCCGGAAGAAATTAGTTCCATGGTACTCACCAAGATGAAAGAGATAGCAGAGACCTATTTGGGAGGCAAAGTAAGTAAAATAGTACTAGTTAAAAAAGTTAGTTACTAATAAACAAAAACTTCTTTTTATTTTTAAAAAATTTCTGGAAACTAAATCTTCCTAACACGGAGTCCTATACTGTTTCAAATAACTTTATTATTTAGGTAACCGACGCTGTCATTACAGTCCCAGCGTACTTTAACGACTCCCAAAGACAAGCTACTAAAGATGCTGGAGTTATATCTGGATTGAACGTTCTCAGGATCATTAACGAACCTACTGCTGCAGCTTTGGCTTATGGTTTAGATAAAAATTTAAAAGGGGAAAAGAATGTACTTATCTTTGATTTGGGAGGTGGTACATTTGATGTTTCCATACTGTCAATCGATGAAGGTACTATACTCCTATCAAACAAATTCATTCGCTCTTACAATTGAAGATAACTAACTAATTATCACTTGTGAAATAATAAGTCTTTTGTACCTATTATTTATAGGTAGTAGACGTTATCAACAATACCTAAATAAATACAGGGTGGTCCGAATTGTATTCCGGAAACGTGGACAGCATATTCTGCAGATAAAAATAAGTAAAATGTTTTTTAATCCCCCCCCCCCCCAACACCACCCATAGCTTCATCACTGCAGTAGTTTTATACAGGTACGAACGCAAAGTTATTACTCTTCAATCCGGTTAAAAATAAATAGGTGGCGCCCTCTGCAAGTAGGTGTCATATTGTCATTAAAATCAAATTTCTCATGTCAAAAAACTCCCAGACACCAATTTTCATCCTGATATTGACGTTACTTCAGATATTATTTGGAAAAAATCGAAATAAAAATGAAACTTCTACACCCCGTACCTCCGAAACTAAGCCATTTTAGGACATACAATTATACGAACTTTTTCACCTATTTTTATCTGTAGAATATACTGTCGAAGTTTCCGCAATACAGTTCGGACCACCCTGTATATATTGATCATTAAAGTTCATTTATTACTTTTGTTTTATGTAATGTTAAAGTATTGTTTTTGAACTAAATTTTCTGATTTAATCATGTCAAAATATTCTACTATGCAGATTCTAGATTATGTTTCATATTCTGATCATCATCTATATTCAAATGATACTGTAAAATACTAATCAACGATAGAACTTTGAACTTTATGATAACACATGCTGTACTCCATAGGTTCTCTATTTCAAGTAAAATCAACTGCAGGAGATACCCACTTAGGAGGAGAAGACTTCGATAACCGTCTAGTAAACCACTTCGTTGAAGAATTCAAAAGAAAGTTCAAAAAAGACCTCAGTTCGAACACCAGAGCCTTGAGAAGATTAAGAACTGCTTGCGAAAGGTAATCAAAATAAGTTAGATAAAGAAAAAAATGCAATTTTTGAAATTTTCAGAGCAAAAAGAACTCTATCCTCTTCGACTGAAGCCAGCCTGGAAATAGACGCTCTCCACGAAGGTGTAGACTTTTATTCCAAGATCACCAGAGCAAGATTCGAAGAACTATGCATGGACCTCTTCAGATCTACACTCCAACCTGTTGAAAAAGCCTTGAATGATGCTAAGTTGGATAAAGGAGCTATCCACGATGTTGTTTTAGTTGGTAAAAAAATCTAAACTCACTTAACTTCGTTATTTTGAATAAATTTCTCTTCAAAAATAGGTGGATCAATTAGGATCCCAAAAATCCAGAAAATGTTACAGGAATTCTTTTGTGGAAAACCTTTGAATTTATCAATCAATCCCGATGAAGCTGTAGCTTATGGAGCAGCTGTGCAAGCTGCCATTTTGAGTGGAGATACTTCATCTCAAATTCAAGATGTTCTTTTGGTGGATGTAGCTCCTCTGTCTTTAGGTATCGAGACAGCAGGAGGTGTGATGACCAAACTAGTTGAAAGAAACTCTAGAATTCCCTGTAAGCAACAGCAAACATTTACTACTTATTCTGACAATCAAAACGCTGTAACTATACAGGTAAGTAAAAAACTGACTATTTAAAGTTATACAGGGGAATAGTGCGTTGGGCTTTTGTAACTCCTATAATAAAAAACTTTTTTTATTATAGGAGCATATAGGAGGAATTTTCTATAAGTGCGAACCTAAAATAGGTATTAGGATTTATTTCAGGAAAATATTTTAACTTCTACATTGCGGTTCAAAAAAGTGTGAGTGGATCAGGATGATTTTTTTTAAATGGAACACCCTGTATATTATTTTTTTTTACTTTCTGATCACTTTACATAAGACTAAGATATTATTAAATATGTTTTGATACTTTCAGAAATTTTAATGAATAAATAAAAAATATATATTTTTTTCAATTGATTTAATAAAAATTATTAAAAATACAAAACATGTCTTGAAATCGAGACTATACGTATTTACTATAGCTTGCCTGTACTTACTTTTCTATAAATATTGTAATCTTAGGCCATACAGGGTGTTCAAAATTCTATGTAAAACTTTCTAAAATATAAAAGAATTTTTCTTCAATTTTTTAAATGTAACACTCTGTATAATATTGCATTTTTGGCCTCCTTTCTGATCACTTTACATAATCTTAAGATAATATTAAATATGTTTCGATATTTTCAGAAATATTAATCAGTAAATAAAAAAAATATTTTTTCCAACAGTTATTTTTAAAAAATTTATTAAAAATACAAAAAATGTCTTGAAATAAAGACTATACGTATTTGCTATAGCTGGTCTGTACTTACTTTCCTATAAATATCGTAATCTTAGGCCATGCAGGGTGTTAAAAATTCTATGTAAAACTTTCTAAAATATAAAATCATCTTTCAATTCAATTTTTTAAACGGAACACTCTGTATATTATTGCATTTTTGGCTTCCTTTCTGGTCACTTTACATAATCCTAAGATATTATTAAATAGGTTTTGATATTTTCAAAAATATTATTAAATACTAACTAAAATAAATATTTCTTTCCACGTTTAATAAAAAAATTTATTAAAAATACAAAAAATGTCTTGAAATCAAGACTATACGTATTTACTACAGCTGGTTTGTACTTACTTTCCTATAAATATTGTAATCTTAGACCATACAGGGTGTTCAAAATTCTATGTCAAACTCTCTAAAATATGAAATATATTTTTTTATATATAAATAGGTTTTTTATTATAGGAGCTACAGATGCCCGACGCACTACTGCCGGACCCTGTATATGACACATTTTTACATTTTTTCTAGGTATTTGAAGGTGAACGAGCTATGACAAAGGATAATAACCTCCTTGGTACTTTTAACTTAACAGGAATACCTCCAGCACCAAGAGGTGTTCCCAAAATCGAGGTTACTTTTGATTTGGATGCAAACGGTACAGTTTTTGAAAATTCTTTCAATTTTTTTTGATGATATTTATGTTGAAAATGTTGTTAGGTATACTGAATGTCTCTGCCAGAGATACCAGTACGGGAAAATCAGAGAAAATCACTATAACCAATGATAAAGGTCGTCTATCCAAAGCTGAAATCGATAAGATGTTGGCTGATGCTGAGAAATATGCTTCAGAAGATGAACAACAGAAGCAAAGAATAACAGCAAGAAACCAGTTAGAGACGTACATCTTCAGCGCTAAACAGGTAGGTATTTAAATTCTCCTAAGGGCCAGTGTTAATAGATTCCGGTTAGTGTTTGACAAAAGCCAGTATCTGAGACGGCTTTGCAGAGAATAGTTCTCTGTTCTGGTGTTTTCCCATTTTCCCCATAGAATCTGCATTCGCCATTGTTTCTTAGCTTCACTCTACTGAGGTGTTCATTGAGGAGACATGTCCTGTCTGAGATAATGTCCTGTTAAAAAAACACAATCCGAAGATTGTTCTTACTTAAACCAAGAAAAATCTTTGATTACCTTCTCGGTAAATTCTGAGAAATTTCTTCGAGTGTCATAGAAAGATTTTTTTTGGCATACCTATTCTGTATCTTTTTCTTAAGGTGCCGTGCAGATTCCTGCGTAGGCGTTCATCTTTTTTCTTCCTCATCAGATGGTTCTATTAACTGCAGCGACTGGGAGTGCTTGGAAGTCCTGTATGCCTGTCCAATGACGAATATTTCTCAGCCAGGATAGCTTCCTTGGGCCTATTCCTCTTTTGCCCCCCTCTCTTTTACCCTGGAGAATCAGACGCTGAAAGTGATAGCGTTCTCCACGTAGTATGTGTCCCAAATAGGCTATTTTCCTCTTCTTGATGATTTCGAAGAGTTCACGTTCTTCTAGACCAGCTCTTCTGAGAATGTCTTCATTCCTCACACGGTCGACCCAGGGCACTGTTAGCATTCGTCGTAGGGTCCACATTTCGAAGGCTTCAATTCGGTTTATTGTTGCTACCTTCAGTGTCCATGCTTCCACACTATATAACAAAACGGACCAGACATAGCACTTCACCATTCACTGTTCGGTTTTTATATGATTCAAAATAAAAAATATATAAATTGTGAAATTAGTAATTTTTTAATGGCCATAATGCGTTCTTTCAAAATCATCGAACAACTAAATCATTTCCATAGATCCAGTGACGTATCGGGAGTTTGAATTTTGAGACCAAACACTGACAAATAATTTGTCAAAAAAATCATATTACAGCTATATGTTTTATTTTGCATAAAAATGTTAACTAATAAGTTAGAATAATTATATTTCTTCCATAACTAAGTGGTTTTATCGTTAACTTTAACTAAAGCTAAGTACAACACAAATCTTAATTACCGTGGACTATTATAACAACGTGGACCATACGTGGACTATTATAACAACAAATACATCGTAAAAGACTATTTTGGTAGCATTCTGAACGAGGATTCAAGTTTTTAGAAAATAATTTAAAGGAAAAATGAACTGCTCTCAGATGCTAGTTCCGAGTAAAATCCTAGAGCTCTATGATTTGCTTTTATTAACTCTGGCACATGATGCAGAATCGCATGAATCTTTGGAGTTATCTTAATACTTAAGTTAAGTATTTCCAATCTAAATTGTTCGATGTCATGTTCAAAATGTTTGTTTAGTGCTTGACCAAAACAACTCGAAACTACTTGATTGAATGCAGAAAACACTGCAATATATTTATTTCCTAAAAAAAAGATGTTTAGGTTTTTGCTTCTAAAAACTTTGAATAGGATTCTTTACCGGGCGATATGGTCTTCAAAATATCCACTTTCTTTAAAAGATGTCTGGCGTTATTTCCGTTACATTTTCCATAATGATCTAGTTTCAATCCCGCTTTTTTTATCCATTCTGTTGCAACATTGGTATTCTCCAATTCAAGACAATCAAATAGTTTTTGAACCACACCTAACAAAATGTGAAGCTCAGGAGGGGGAATATACTTTAAGACAGGTGTTTCTTCGTCGCCATTGATTAAAGGTATGTTTATACAGTTTTCCAAAAAATAATTGCCCTTCTTTATATGGTTCATTGAACAACAATTTAAAAAATACAAAAAAAAAATATTTTAAACAAAAACGCTTACTAAAATCTTTGGTTTTTGTTATATTTCCTCCAGATTGTTGCCATAAATTTGTATTTTCTGTAATACTTTTTATAGTTCTGAATGATCCTTTAATTTCCATTTCCTTTATACATTTACATCACACCATGGGCAAGTGTGAGTGGATGAATTTGACTGAAGACCAAGGAGAATCATAATAAGCTTAAAGCCAGCGGCAAAAGTATAGGAACACATTCCACATATGGACTGCAGATCTAACGTCTCAAAGATGCTTTTAATGTTAGCATACGATTCAGACAACTTTGGTCCTAAGCCAATTATGAATAGTTTATTAATTTCAGCACTTTTATATTTCTTGAAATATTTGGGGGATCATTTTCAGGGAGCACATTCAGACAAACTTTAAGTGATCCACCACCACTATCAATGCCAATTTTTAGATGAAAAGCTTTAGATAATTCTCTAATTTCCAAAATATATGATAGAAGACCAGAAAAATCTGACAGTATACAAAAATTAATATTAACTGAATTAACATTTTTCCTTTAAATTATTTTCTAAAATGTTTAACTTGAATTCTAGTTCAGAATGCTACCAAAATAGTCTTTTACGATGTATTTGTTGTTATAATAGTCCACGCATTTAAGATTTGTGTTGTACTTAGCTTTAGTTAAATTTAGCGATAAAACCACTTAGTTAGTGAATAATTATAATTATTCTAACTTATTAGTTAACATTTTTATGCAAAATAAAACATATAGCTGTAATATGATTTTTTTGACAAATTATTGTTTCAGTTTTTGGTCTCAAAATTCAACGTCACGGTACGTCACTGGATCTATGGAAATGATTTAGTTGTTCCATGATTTTGAAAGAACGCATTATAGCCATTAAAAAATTACTAATTTTACAATTTATATATTTTTTATTTTGAATCATATAAAAACCGAACAGTGCATTCTGTATCTGAGGCCGAAGTTTAAGTTCCTATCTGTGAGAAATCTTCGAAGTTACAGAAAATTAGATCTTGCTTGTTCGATACTGCATTTGATCCCCTGATCTGGATCCCACGTTTCGTTAACCACGCATCCCAAATATTTAAATTGTGTGACCTGCTTGATGATCTCTCCATTTAAGTAAATTCTGGTGTTCGGAATATTGTTTCTGCTAACAGCCATAAATTTAATTTTGTCGTATTTATGCTTCAACCCGATCTTTGGCTTTCTTTGTTAACCTTATTTAGAAGGATTTTGAGATTATTTTGAGATTGCATTGTCTGCCAACATCACTGTGTCATCCGCATATCGGATATTATTAATTGGAATGCCATTTATTTTCACACCAATGGGACTATCGGAGATTGACTCAGTGAATGCTCTTTCCACATATAAATTGAACAACAATTAAGACAAAAATTGAGACACAATACACCCTTGTAAAAAATAATATCTGTATAATTACAAATAATATATTATAAAATTTTCTTTCTAGGCTGTGGAAAACGCTCCGAGTGACAGATTGGGTGAGAGCGACAAAAAATTAGTAGAAGAAAAATGTTCCAGCGCTCTGCAATGGCTGGACAACAACCAGCTGGCGGAAAAAGACGAGTACGAAGACAAATTAAAAGATTTACAAAGAGAGGTACAGCCTGTCATGATGAAATTGCACCAAGGAGGTGCTCAGCCTCAAGCAGGACCAAAAGTAGAGGAAGCTGATTAAAGAGCATTTTTTTGTAAATAAAACAAATTTTTAATTAAATTATTATGTTTCTCTCTCTCTGTCTCATGGGTCCTTTTATTGCAAAAACTAGATCTACCAATTTCGCTCTGTGTTATTCATATACCGTATGAACGAAAAGTAACGGCGTCGAGCTGGCTTGGAAATGACGATCGATGACAATCCCCATATAATTTTAAATATAAAATGACAGCGATCTTCATTTCATAGCCATCACTGACGCCGCATATTATACAGGGTGTCCCAGAAATAAGTGCAAGTATTTTAAGTGGTGGTAGATCTCGATAAAAGAAACAGATTTTCTCTTTATAGTTTTTCAAATAAGTCCAAAATAACATTTATAACGAATTATTCTACTTCGAAATTTTCCAAAAACAATGATTTTTTGATAAAATTTTATAAACCACTGGATCTTTTCTATTAACTAAAAAAAAATCAAAAAAATATTAAAAAATTTCCGAATTTTCAAATTTTTTTTTCGCGAAAAAAACCTCATAGGCGTGTTTCTGGGGTTGAACTATACTATTAGTTAAAATACTTGCACTTACTTCTGGGACACCCTGTATAAATTCACTTAGAAATAATTACTAACTTCATATATTTTCTTGAATTTATTTAAAACCTGTCAAAGTAATTAGAATACTCCAATTTGACTTGGGGGGGTGCTTCAGTAGCGAATCTGATATTTTTGTTATTATCTAATGATTATAACTCACCTATTTTTATTAAAAATATATTTTTTGACAATTTTAAAAACTAGTAATAATTATTGACAGCATAAAACAAAACCAATAAATGATTGAATCTACCCTATATTATATTTTTAGTAAATTTTAATAAATCTTAATAATTTTTTTTAACGATATAAAAATTAAACTACCAATTACGAACAGAAATTATATTTATTTATAGGTATGTCATTTAACTAGAACAAGTACAACTAAAATACAGTCAAACTCAAATAAAAAAAAATCGTTCATAAGGTTTTTACAACTTGCTTTGCCTTAAGTCTTCTTAAGTAAAATAATGTGAACATTAATTCACTAATCCTCTTTAAACATCACCGAATAATATGCCAACTCTTCACTAAGTTCCGGATCATCTTCGAACTCTACAGCTGGCTGTGATTTGGGCGCTGTTTTCTGTTTTTTTAAACGCTGACAAACCTCGCCATTCTGTAACGTAAAAAAGAAAATATTTACACATTAATACCATATAAGATCGAAAAAAAAAACGCCGTCAAAGAAGCTGATGGAGAATGACAATCGGAGATAATTTTGTCGAGGTCAATCTCTAGATAGTCTTACCTGTAAATTATTTTTGCTGATACTAGATATAGCGTTCTGCAGTTCGATAGTTTTAGGATTGACGGTAACGCTTGCGGCTGAAGACATTTGTTTCATCTGTTCCAGTTGTGGGTTGACCATCAGATCTCCATTAGTATAGCCCAACTTTGCTAGAACCTATAACAAAAAAAAAGGCGTCCAGTTGGCTCGGAAATGACGATCGATGACATTTCCCATATAAATTTATAAGATATAAAATCACAGCGATCTTTATTTCATAGTCATCGCTGACGCCGTTTTTTTTTCGATCATACTGTATTATGGTACCGTATGATCGAAAAAAAACGGCGTCAGCGATGGCTATGAATTGAAGATCGCTGTCATTTTATATGTAAAATTATATAGGGAATGTCATTGATCAGCGTTTCCAAGCCAACTGGACGCCTTGAATAAAATATACAGGGTGGTCCGAACTGTATTCCAGAATCTTCAGCAACATATTCTGCAGATAAAAATAAGTAAAAAAGTTCCTATAAATGTATGTCCTAAAATGCTTAGATTCGGAGATACAGGGTGTAGAAGTTTCATTTTTATTTCGATTTTTTCCAAATAATTTCTAAAGTAACGTCAATATTTGGATGAAAATTGGTGTCTGGGAGTTTTTTGACATGAGAAATTTGATTTTCATGTCAATATCACTCCTACTTGTAGAGGGCGCCACATATATGTTTTAACTGGTTTGACGAGTAATAACTTTTCGTCCGTACCTGTATAAAACTACTGAGTAAAAAAATATACATTCCCGACATTATCTACGTAAAAAAGCTCTCTTGGTAAAAATCGCTACGAGTAATAGTTCTCGAGATATTTGTCATCAAAATGGTCAATACCTCTGTCATCAATGACATAAATTAAACATGTTGACTACAGTACGTCTGCTGGATCTGTGCCTATGAAAGGAATGCGGACAAAAAACATTTAAAAAAACAGCAATATATTTTATACGTCGACTTGACGAGTACGTCACCGCAAATCGCTCCGCCCACTCATTTTATTGACTACTTGCAAATTTGTCGAATTTTTATTGACGGGACGCGTCGTCTAATTTTTTACGAAAATCATCGAGAGAATATCGTTTCCCCTCTCACGGATACCCCGTAGCTACAGAACGAACAGACGTACTGTAAATAGTTATTAAACTGAAATCATAAATATGAAATATTTTTGTGCCAAAAGTTGTTTTATCATCATTTTTTCGCAGACAAATTTATGATTAATTTAAAAAAAATAAAATTTCCTAAATTTATTATTTCGGTCAAATAACTAGCTACTCAACGTATTTTATGTCAATAATGACATGTATTATGTACCATTTCTCTAAATATTATCTTGAGAGCGGTTTGTTCGTAGCGATTTTTACCAAGAGACATTTTTTTGCGTAAAAACTCACGGAAATGTATATTTTTTTACTCAGTAGTTTTGTACAGGTACGGATGAAAAGTTATTACTCTTCAAAACAGTTAAAACACATGTAGGTGGCGCTTCCTACAAATAGGAGTCATATTGACATCAAAATTAAATTTCTCATGTGAAAAAACTCCCAAACACCAATTTTCATCCAAATATTGACGTTACTTCATAAATTATTTGGAAATAAACGAAATAAAAATGAAACTTCTACACCCTGTATTTCCGAAACTAAGCATTTTAGAACATACATTTATACCTTTGAATAAGAAGACTAAGGAAGGAGCATAATGCTATCCATGTATTCATGCATGGTGGGCGGAAAAGCCACCATAAAAGCTCTCTAGGGTGGGGATCCTTGACAGTTCTCTTTGACGATTCATTTGACACATTTGAATTTGATTTGAAATTCTGTGGATTTGTCAGTCTTTACGGAGCTTATTTTATGTTATTTATTATTTATTCTACTACTGATAGTTGTATAAAGGTAGTAAATCTAGATGGAAATTGTGGCAGAACTTACATTAACAGTGACACTATCGCGATTTATCGAAAAAGACTCTAAAATAGTTGGTTGTGTAGCGTGCGGTAGATCTCGGCAAAAATTGAGTGAAATAATGGAACAACTTTTCGCTAGTAAGTGACTATATAATATTCATACGTGTAGTAAACCGATCATTTATGAAATTCACTTAAATTAACTAAATTATATATTTTTCTTGAATTTAAGCTTTTATTTATTACTTGTCAAAGATTAGATGTCAAAGAATTTAGATAAGTTTATTTGACTTACCTGCTTCAGTAGCGTATCGGATGAGTGTTAATAAATACTTGAGGTGTGTTAATAAATACTTATTATAACTTATCTATTTTTATTAGAATTATATATTTTTATAACAATTTTAATAACTACCAACATTTATTCACAACGTAAAATAAAACAACAAATTATTGAGTCTACCCCACGTCTACCCTACATCATAGTTTTACATTTTTTAAATAAAATTAGAACGACACTGATAAACCGGAATTTAAGTCGGCCATATTTGAGGCCCATCGCGGTGTACCTAAGATTTTGATATGCTCCTTCCTTAGTCTTCTTATTCAAAGTTAAAACAAATGTAGGTGGCGCCCCCTACAAATAGGAGTCATATTGACATCAAAATCAAATTTCTCATGTCAAAAAACTCCCAGAAATTATTTGGAAAGAATCGAAAAAAAAATGAAACTTCTACACCCTGTATTTCCGAAACTAAGCATTTTAGAACATACATTTATACAAACTTTTTTACTTACTTTTGTTTTCGGAATACAATTCGAACCACCCTGTATACTTGATAGTTGGTAACAAATTACTTAATACTACAAATTTATGAATTCAGTGCTATCTACGGCAAATTAAAGAAAATAATGATATTTAAGATAATTATAAAAAACTAATTTATTTTAAAGTTTTAACATCCAGCATCATTAAAACTATACATTTCCTTTGTCCATGCAACTTTTTTAATATTTTTTGATGATGTATATCTTCCCTTAAAATTTGATCGCGCATTTTTCGGATACCCCGTATAAAAAATGAATTATCCAAAATTAAATTCTCGCTCACCTGAGCAATATAGACGCTTTTTTCCAGATGCGACATAGTTTCCCACGTATCGTACACCACTTGCTTAACCTGTTGCTTGGACGCCTTGGGGTACATCCAGTGGTACAAAGTACGGGTTCTTTTCGAAAAAATCGACTTGGCCATTCGCAGCACCTCTTCCTGCCTGGATCCCAACCTGTTAAACACGTTCATAGTCTCCATGTCGGTGTTGACATAGACAAAAGCCTCCTGGCAAAGGTTTTTCGGGTCTGGATACGTTTGAGACTTGAGCTGAGTCGGAACTGGAGACCAATTTAGACCCTATATGATATACATAGAGAATTTATCTATACAGTCTGTCGCATTGCAGAACTTATAATATAGGAAAGCACATGTAAATTTTAAAAACGATAATTATTTTACAAAAAAAAAACAACGAATTCATATAAATTATTCAAAATGAACAGTTTATTGAAGTGGAACTTCTTTACGCACGATGGGAGTAAAAATTCAAGGGCGTGAAACGACACGGGATGCGAGAGGAAAAGAGGTAACTCTTGATTTTTATGTTCTCTAAAATGAAATAGGGAAGTTTTATCATCATTTTTAAAATTTACATGAGGTTTCGTATGTTCAGGCCGGTGAAAATGAAACATACGGTATAAAAAAAGGTGTAGAAAACATAAATTAAAGAAATATACCGATATTTGTGCCTTGATCTTGGTAAATTCGGGACTTAAACGTTGTTTCCTTTTTCTAGATTTAATGGGTAAAATAGTTAGGGTTTCCTTTGAACAAGTGGGCTGTTGATTATTTCTATCGTCATGCTGTAAAAAGAAAACCCGATTTTTTTTATCAAAACTTTCACACCCTGTAACATCTTGGTATGAACTTTTTATTTAAAAAATAATACTACAAAATAACCCTGTAAAATATCACATATTTATAAACACCCTGTATGCGCGTCTTTACGCAATAACGCGCGCGTTTGAATTAAATAAGGTATAATAAGAAGTAATGAAAGCAACTAAATACCTGTGAAGGAGGATGATTAGCAGTCAAATCTTGCCTATGCGATCTGAGATCCATAGGCTCATCTTGAAACAATTGTAAACATAAAACTTTAACTTCTTTATCGCTACCATTATTTTCATTGCGCGCAAATTTAATTCTTTCCTTAGTTTCTTTACTTTCTCCACTCTTTAAAATTAGAAAATCTCTACATTCGCTAGGCTAAGAATTGAGAAAAAAAATTATGCCAAACAGGTATTAATTCGTTTAAAACTACTATAAATAATTCAAAAACTACCTGAAAAGACACCTTACCTCACTAACATTATCACCGCTGGTGTAAACGCTTTCTTTAGTTTCCATATTTTTCGTTTCCATTGAGAATAAAAAACTACGTCTCTCACAATTTCGGAAAACTTGGAAACAACTTTGTTTATTCTGGTTGCTAGGTTTTAATTATTAATGTTCTTTTCTTTTTCCAAGACCGCCTTAATTTTAAAATATATTTCTTCTCATTCTGTAATATGGCCACTTGTCTCTTTATTAAATATATGTTTATTTTTTTTTTTTTCCTATTTTTGGCCACTTGTCTATTACGACATTCAGCCAGCTTATTTCTTGTTATTTAATTAGCGTTTTTTAAAATTGGACAAATACAGACTCACACATACATTTAACACCCATGTCCGAGGCCGGAATCGAACCGGCGACCTTGCGTCTACTAGAATGCGGCGCAATCATTTCGACCACTAGGCCGACATATGTTTATTTTAAGACCGAAATCAAAATAAAATGAAGAACTGTAAAATTCTTCTTCTTACAGGCAAAAAAAAAAAACGATTGATCGTAGCCACTATAAAAATTAAGAAGAGTTTCTGTCACTTTTTGACAACGTTTGGTTAAGTTTTGTAATTTGTTTACAAGATATTCCTTTAAATATTAAAAACTCAATATTTTTATCTACGATATTTATAATTAACTGATTGTTGTTTAAAGGAGAGCTATGTTATCGCATAAACGAAGATCTCGCTCGCCAGAATATAGAAGTCATTCCAGGAAACCTTCGCGACATTATCGATCTCGATCCAGGAGTAGATCGCGATCTAAATCGAGAGTATCCAACTATGCATCATCGTCAAGTAGTAGATATCACGATAATGGACATGGAAAAAATGATAGAAGAAATACGGACCATAATCATAGGTCGAGAGACACTCATAAAAAGTTTGCCTCTCAAGAAGATGAATTTATGGAGCACAGAAGACAAGAACGAGAGATATTGGGTACCAGGGAGGCACCCACTGTATGGGGAAGGTCACCTTTAAGAGAAGAGCTTAGTTCTGAAGAGGAGAAATTAAGTGAGCGTGAATCTTCAAAGAAACACAAGAAAAGAAAGCATAAAAAAGAGAAAAAGCATAAAGAAAGTAAAAAGCACAAGAAGAACAAGAAAAAGAAGAAAAAACGAAAGTATTCATCCAGTTCAGATTCCTCCAGTTCTGAGGAAGAGGAGGAACAGTGGGTAGAAAAAACAAGTTCAGAACCAAAATTATCAAAGAAAAATGCCTCAGATTCAGAAGAAGACGAAACTGTTGTGGGACCTAGCCAGAAACCACATGCAACACTTACCAGCAAAGAAATGGGCAAAGCTCTACTTCCCGGTGAAGGTGCAGCTATGGCAGCTTATGTAGCTGAAGGCAAACGTATACCCAGAAGAGGTGAAATTGGATTAACATCAAACGAAATAGCTTCTTTTGAAAAGGTTGGATATGTAATGTCTGGTTCAAGACACAGAAGAATGGAAGCTGTCCGTATTCGTAAAGAGAACCAAATTTATTCGGCAGATGAAAAGAGAGCTTTGGCCATGTTTAGTAAAGAGGAACGACAAAAGAGAGAAAATCTGATTTTGGGACAGTTCAAAGATATGGTGAAATCAAAACTGGCTGATAAAAATAAGTAATATTTGTTTTTTAAATTGTATATAGCTATTAACTAATTAATTAAAATAATGTAAAGTAAAAAATTATTTTTATTGATATTACATATATAAATTACTAACGACTGGACTTTCTTTAAAAGATACTTTGATATCTAAACCAAGAAATTTCAACAATTTTATTAATTCAGCAGAATTCATAGAGTCTAGAGGCAAATGGTCGGTGTAGACAATCCACAAGTAAGCTTGATGTTTCTGGCAAAGACAGTAAGTCAAAACTGTTGCACCTAGCCCTTGAATTAAGTTAGGAGTTTCTAATCTTGAACCATAAGGTAATTCACTGGAATTGGTGAGGCACTTTGTCACTGTAACTACATCTCTGTACTTCTCTGCCGGTTTAAGATTATTTATTAATTCTGTAGTAATGGCATGAATTGTTTTTGCCTTTTTAAGCCACGGTGCTAGTATTTCTACAATCTAAAAAAGTGTATATGAGATATTAGTGAAATGAATGAAGTTATAAAGTTACCTCTCCTAAAACTAGTTTATTTAGTTGTCCTGTAAATAGAACTAAATATCTATCATTAAATTTGTAGATAAAAACACCTTCATCTTTAATTAATGCAACAGGTTCTATTCCTTTTAATAATGTATTAACAATATGAATAACTTTTTGACTTTCTATAAATACAAGGGTTTCAATATTATCTGGAGGTTCAGGTTTTCCTTCCCACTGAAAAACTGGCCTGAAAATTTAATAGATTAACATTTTTATGTGAAAAGATCATTATTTTAATTATTAACCCTGCATAGTCAGGAAGATTTTCTAGGTCCTCGTCTTCTAATATTAAAGCTCTTGTCGTAGGCTCAACAATTTCACCAAAAACCATCTTTGTATAGTCTTAATAAGTATAAATAAATAATAATTTGAATAAAGACTGAAAAAAACAAATTTTGTATGACTTGCAAAAGTCACAGGCATAGATATGGAGGATGGAGGAATATTTTATTTTTCTTTCTCTATATCTTTGGCTACAGATCATATATTTTTTCAGAAGTTTCACAATACAGATAACTCAGGTAGCTGTGGACCTAAAACAAAATTACACTTATAGTCCGGATAGCCCCGGCAATTGTGGCCTTAAACTACAATATAGATAGCCCTAGCAGTTGTTGCCTTAAAACTAAGGTTTTCTGTGAAAAAATAGTTCAAAAAAACTAGTGTCAAATAAAAATGAACCTGTAATGACGTTTAAAAACTAAAATTAAATAAAATTGGGAAAATAAGTTTCTATAATAATTAGGAACACTCTTACAATTATAGTAAAATTTCGGAATAAAACTAGCTGAATGCATATTCTAAATCCTACGAAATTTTTTATAAGCAGCTTCATCAAAGGTCGGCGTAAAGAAATATTTTTCTATAGGTAAGCAATTTTCAATTATTAACTAATGAATTTGTGTGTACCTATGTTTTTATTTATGGGTAAACTTTTCGATTCTGTCATCACTTATAATACTATCATTTGCAGCACATTAACTGTTCTTGGTAAAGCAAATCCTAAAATGTCGAGCTCTTCAGAATATATAGTTCGTCGAATTGATAATATTACAAAGTCTCAAGAGGACAAACGTTCATACAGAGGGCTGGAACTTACGAACGGTATAAATATAAAAATTTTTATACATACATTTCTAATAAAAAATTATTATAGGCATGAAAGTTCTGCTTGTAAGTGATCCATTGACGGATAAATCAGCAGCGGCAATGAATGTGAATGTAGGATTTCTAAGTGATCCTAAACATGTACATGGACTTGCTCATTTTTGTGAACACATGCTGTTTCTTGGCACTGAAAAATATCCCAATGAAAATGATTACAGTAAATTTCTTCAAGAACATGGAGGTAGTGGTAATGCAGCAACATTTATGGATCATACAATGTATTACTTTGATATTGTTCCTGAACATTTGAAAGAAGCTCTGGACAGGTAGGATACAAGGTATTGAAATGAAATTTTGCATTATTATTTGATGTTTTTTTAGATTTGCCCAATTTTTTATATCTCCTTTATTTACTGAAAGTGCAACTGAAAGAGAAATAAATGCTGTTAATTCCGAACACGATAAAAATATTCAGAGCGATATGTGGAGAATTAATCAGCTCGACCATCATTTGTGTGATCCTGATCATGCGTACAATACTTTCGGAACGGGCAACATTTATACGTTAAGTACTGGATTGAAGGAAAAAGGTATCAATGTCAGAGATGAACTTTTAAAGTTCCATCAAAGGTGGTACTCATCGAACATGATGTGTCTGGCAGTGCTAGGAAAAGGTATAGTCTAAAATTAACATAGAGGAAAATCAATAAAATTAGTGTGCACTTCATGACTTCATCAAAATATTTGATGAATGTACGTTGCAATGTTGCCAGGAGAACTTTTTTTTACTTTGACTTTTGACAAATTAATAAAATTCGAAATTTGGCAATGATTTTTCAGTTGACACAACATTTATTGATTTCTCTATAGAGGTACCTTTTAATATACTTGTTTTATCAAATCTTATTTTTTTTTAGAAAGTTTAGATGAACTAGAGTCCGCGGTTGTCGATTTATTTCGGTCCGTAAAAAATAAAGAAATAGAAGCTCCAAAATGGGAAAAGCATCCTTTCAGAGATGACCAATTGCGAACCATTGTCTATGTCACACCGGTGAAAGATGTACGAAATCTTAACGTAGTATTCCCCTGTGAAGATTTAATGCAATTTTATAAATCAGCTGTAAGTACTTTTTAGTTTTAAAAAGAAATATTTTATGAAATATACCAATTCATGTCGATATCGATATATTTAAATATCGATATAATTTGCACCTGTCTAATTGGTGACCTTGAAGTGCGGTCTGAAGTTAGCAGCATGTTCGTTTTTTAACCTCGATTAATTTTTTAAGTAGGTGTTATTGTGATAATTTTAAAAAAATTTATGTAACAATCCAGTCTGTAGCTATTCTGCTCTGATCTAATATGGACTGCGTAGATGAATATTCTCATAGCAGTCCTCAAGTAATATATTTTTCAAAGAGCATACCGACCAAAGAAGTGGAAAAGAAAATCGAGTATAGCAATGTTTTTTGTCAGTGTGTTGGTTCCTGCGATCAAAATGCGAATTGTGCCTGTATGAAGCAAAGTGGAACCCGTTATTCTTATACAGACCGGACAGAACTGGAAAATTACGTTCTTATTTATAAGAACATTAACAGACCAACTTACGAGTGCAATGAGCAATGTCAGTGTAAAAATACGCTTTGTGGGAACAAACTGATTCAGTGTGGACCTCGAACAGGGTTAATTGTTAAAATTTGCGACGATTCGCGAAAGGGTTTAGGAGTTTTTACCGAAAAATTAGTAAAATGCGGAAATTTTATATGCGAATATGCTGGAGAGATTATATCAGAGGTTGAAGCTTCTATGCGGTTTAAAATCAACGCCCGAGTTCAACGTATGAACTATATTTTCTGCGTAGACGAATATTTTGGCGATAAAAACATTAAAACTTTTATCGACCCAACTTTCTATGGAAATATCGGAAGATATCTGAACCACAGCTGTGATCCTAATTGCTCAATGGTTATAACCAGAATCAACGACAATATTCCTGTCGTAGCTTTATTTGCTTGTAGAGATATTATTGAAGGTGAAGAGCTCAGTTATGATTACGGAATAACCGATTTAAGTAGTGAAATTGAAGATCCCGAAACAAGCAGAACAAAGTGTTTATGTGGTAGTGTTAATTGTAAAGGATTCCTACCTTATGATACTAGAATTATGTAATTTCTGTTAGTGTTTTATGTAGTAATAGGAAAGGTTGTAGTGTTTTACAGCAAAATATTTGTTTTTTTCAAGCCCGCAAACTATATCAGCCATTTAATGGGTCATGAGGGTCCAGGAAGTATTTTGTCAGCTTTAAAAGCCAGAGGCTGGTCCAATCATTTGGTTGCCGGTCTGAGAACGCACTCTAGAGGATTTGGTTTCTTTGCGGTTACAGTGGATTTGACCGAGGAAGGAATGAAACATGTAGATGACATTGTTAAATTAATTTTTCAGGTAAATACATAATTCTATCACTGCTATGTTAAGGAAAACACTTTAACTAGAAAGATAACTATAAGTGCGTAAATATGACAATTGTATTAAATAAAAGTGCCCTATGTACAAATATTAACAAAAAAAAATCTTAACTTGTTTATTTTCTTCAGATAAGAGCATTTTCCTTAACAGGGCAGATCGTATGTCATAGGAAAACAAGATGGCGACATTTGATTGTTTTAAAATGAAGCTAAGCATGTTTTCCAATAGTAGAACTCTTGTGAATCAACTTTTACTTGTGAAGGTTCAGTATAGAGCTATTTCCACAAGATACACAAACATTTTTAACAAGAAAAAAAATATAATTTTAACAAAATTTTAGTATATAAATATGTTAAAAACAGAGAAGCCCCAAAAATGGATTCAAGATGAAAACAGGGATATTGGAAATATGATTTTCAGGTTCAAAGATAAGGAATCGCCTAGAGAATATATTTCAAGTCTCGTGAACAGTTTGCAGGTAAACTAAGACATATACAGGAAACATTTTTGAGTTTACATTATTTCTAAATTATTTAAGTATTACCCTTTAGAAGACATTTTAAGTGCAAGTTATTTGGTGAACGAATGGCGCCCAGACTTGGTTGAGGATGTATGGAATAATCTCACTCCAGAGAAAGCTAGGTAATATTTTTAATTCTGTTAAAAAAAATTCTGTACCTTTTTTATTTAGATTGGCAGTTGTAGCCAAGGCCCATGAAAGTATTTGTACTGACGAAGAACCATGGTACGGTGTTAAATACAAGCAAGAAAAAGTACCAGAAGCTACTCTCAAAACTTGGAAAGAAGCTGGATTGTGCTCAGAATTTTATTTGCCGGAAAAAAACGAATTTATTCCCAAAGATTTCTCTATATATCCTCAAGGAGAAGCTGTAAGTTTTTGGTCTATGTTATTTTGTAATAAAACAAAGAATTCTCTTGCAGCTTTCAGAACATCCAGAGATTATACAGGATACACCCTTAACTAGGGTCTGGTTCAAGCAGGACGACAAATTCTTGCTGCCCAAGGCAAATATTATGTTTGATTTTGTCAGTCCGATGGCTTATTTGGATCCGCTCAATTGCAACTTGTTGCATATGTTTGTTCAGCTTTTCAGAGATTCATTAAATGAATATGCTTATGCGGCTGAATTGGCTGGACTGAAATGGGAATTGATCAATACTAAATACGGACTTATAGTAAGTGAGGACTGTTTATATTTTCGTTTACAGACGTTAAGCGACGTTAGACGATGCGTGGATGGACGGGTGACTGTTGCAAGAACAGTATACTAATAGGATTGCTCATCCTCATAAGATGTACGTTCGCCTCTTCCCGCGCTTCAGCTGACAGTTGTGACGTCATTGTAGTCCTTGTCATGATAGTGTGTATTTTTAGTTGCCTATGGTAAACTTATAAAAATAACAGCTGAGAAATTTTGAGTTAATTATTTTGTCAATTTTAAATGTGAAAAAGGTGTCTTTAAAGTTTTTAGAGCTATACAGTGTATAAATACGTTCATTTTGTGTTGTGGATTGTGACAAAGTGCTTACTAAGTGCCTACGATATTGTTTATTAATTATTTTAAGGCAAAATATGGAAGTACTCTAAAAAGAATGCTTGCAAAAGGTGATGCTGGGAACTGCTGTTCTTAAAAATGCATTATCCGAGTATTTAATATAATTTATACAGTTAATTTTATATACTGCATACATATAAGGTGTTTAAATAAATAATCTAAATAATGAACGTTTTGCATTCGGCAACTAATAATGCAAATGTGTGTATTATTGGTTGCCGGATAAGGACTATTAACCATGACAAGGACTACAATGACGTCACAAAGCGAGTAGTTTTCGCATGCACCTGGCGGACACTTTTGGCTGAATGAGCAGTCCTATTAGGTTAACTGTTCTTGTGACTGTTGTGCTGTTGTTCGATGGCAACAGTGTAAAATATACACGTCGGTTAGAGGCCGGATACACTTGCCTAGTCGGTAGGCCATTGACAAGTCGAGGACCGCGGTTCAAATTTTGCCTAAACGCAGAAGGCCCCGTCCAGACTGGCTTTAGCAGCAAAAAGGAGATGTTAACTTAAAATACTTTAATATTTTTTACTTTTTTCTAGCTGGGTATTGGCGGATACAACAATAAACAACATATTCTACTGGAAAAAATTATGGAAAAATTCACCAATTTCAAAATTGACCCTAAAAGATTCAATATTTGGAAGGAAAATGTAAAAAAATATTCTATTTTTAGAGTATTTTCATACTAAAAATTATTTATTGCAGTATATCAGAAATTTGAAAAATTTCGCTGCTGAACAGCCTTACCAACACGCTGTGTACTATTTGACAGTTCTTCTCACTGAACATTCCTGGACTAAGGAAGAACTACTGTCATCTACAGACCGTAACGCCAATTTTGCATGATTTTTTTCCTGTAATACTAAATATTTTATTTTTATTTTACAGAAATAACTATTGATAGGTTAGAGGCCTTCATACCTCAGATGCTGTCAAAGATGCACATAGAATGTCTCGTCCACGGCAACGCCAACAAATCTAGAGCCCTAGAAATGGTTCAGATCGTCGAAAATGCCCTAACCTCGTCATTAAACATGTCACCCTTGTTACCCAGGCAACTGTTGTTAAATAGGGAACTAAAATTGGAGGATGAATGTCATTACTTGTACGAAAAGCAGAATCAGGTACATTTATTGGCTATTTTATATTTTAACTTGTTTAAAATAAATAGAATGTCACTAATAAACTGGAATTTAAGTCAGCCATGTTGAAACACCTTCGCGGTCGCGTTATCTTTGTTGATATGTCCATTCCTTAGTGTTTTTATTCAATTAGTTCGTTAATAACTGTAGTAGTTCAAATGTACCATACCATAAAAACGGCATCACAGTGACCTTTCAAATGCCAATCGTTGGTAATTTTTGACCGCTATATGTTGTCTGTGAAATTTGTATTTAAATGAAAAATAATAAAATGTTTCCAAATATATTCACTAAAAAGTATTTTTGTAAATAGCTTGTTTTGCCAAGTTTGTTGATATTTCTTCTTGTTTTTTTTATACAATTAATGAATTAATAGCTGTAGTAGTTCAAATGTACCATACGATATTATTCAACTTAAAGTTGAATTTAAGGTGGTTGATTTAGCTTTATTTCTGATCTTAGGTGCACAAGAGCTCATGCATTGAGGTCTATTATCAGTGCGGTTTGCAGTCCAAAGAAAACAACGTCAAATTAGAGCTGTTCTGTCAATTGATTCAAGAACCATGCTTCAATGTTCTAAGAACACAGGTACCGTGCTTTTTTTTTATCCAAATAAAAAGAATTGTGAACAATTGACACGTTTTTGATGTCTAGGAACAACTTGGTTACATAGTATTCAGCGGCGTACGAAAATCAAACGGCGTCCAAGGGCTCAGAATCATAGTACAATCCGACAGACATCCCACCTATTTAGACGGAAGGATAGAGGAATTTTTGGAAGGTATGCTGACTTATATCAAAGATATGAGCGAAGAAGAATATCTAAGGTAAATATCTTTTTTTTTATTATAGTTTATTTTTTAAAGTTTCTGTTTTTTAGGCACAGGGAAGCGCTGGCGTGTCATAGATTAGAGAAACCCAAACAGCTGTCTGCACTGTCCAATCGGTTTTGGGGCGAGATTACTTCGCAACAGTATCACTTCACTAGGGCCGAAACGGAAGTCGCCTATCTCAGGACGTTGAATAAAGAGGATGTTGTTGCATTTTACGAGGTAAGTACTCATTACTGGCTGTAATAGTTCAAATGTACCATACTATAAAACACAGGTTTCACAGCTACCATTAAAATAACAATAATAACTGTTGTTCTTCCTTAGTTTTTTAATAAATTTGTGCGTTAAAGCTGTAGTAGTTCGAATATACCGCGTGATAAAAAACGACGTCACAACGGCATTTGAAATAACAATTGTCCTTCTATAGTTTTTATTCAATTAATGCAATAATAGCTGTAGTAGTTGAAATGTACCCTACTTTAAAAAATCTGTTCCACAGCTACCTTTGAAATAACAATAATTATTGTTCTTTTTTAGTTTTTTTCATTAAATTTGTGCGTTAAAGCCATAGTAGTTTGAATATACCGCATGATAAAAAACGACGTCAGAGCGGTTTTTCAAATAACAATTGCCCTTCTATCATTTTTATTCAATTAATGCAATAATAGCTGTAGTAGTTCAAATGTCCCCTACTATAAAAAATCGGTTCCACAGGTACCTTTGAAATAACAATAATTATTGTTCTTTTTTAGTTTTTTTTATTAAATTTGTACGTTAAAGCTGTAGTAGTTCGAATATACCGCATGATAAAAAACGACGTCACAGCAGCCTTTCAAATAACAATTGTCCTATAGTTTTTATTCAATTAATGCAATAATAACTGTAGTAGTTCAAATGTTCCATAGTATTAAAAAATCGGTTTTACAGCTACCTTTGAAATAACAATAATTGTTGTTCTTCCTTAGTTTTTTATTAAATTTGTGCGTTAAAGCTGTAGTAGATCAAATATACCACATGATAAAAAACGACGTCACAGCAGCCTTTTAAATAACAATTGTTCTATAGTTTTTATTCAATTAATGCAGTAATAGCTATAGTAGTTCAAATGTACAATTTCTGTACTATAATCTCCTGTGAATATTCTTACTTTAAACGTATATAATGTTTGAAATATACTTTTAACTAACTTATTTTGGCGTTTCATATGCAATATTATTGCATTTTTTCCTCTTACAGGACCTGTTAAGAGATGGGGCCAAACAACGAAAGAAACTCTCTGTTCACATCGTATCTATCGCCGACGGTGGCGCCGGTACCAATAATACCGAAGAACCAGAAGAAAACAACGTCGAAGAAAAGAACTCTGCAGGGAAACCAAGTCTAATAAGTGATATCACAGTATTTAAGAGCGCTCACGAGATGTATCCCTTGGTGCAACCCTACATTAACATCACCAGGAAGGGAAACAAATGTAAATTGTGAGGAATAAACAAATATGTATAGAAAAACGGATTGATTGAGTGTATACTTATTGGAATGAACTGTGTAATTGGTGTGTTTGATGTGTGTATTAGTGTTCTAAGATTAATAACCATTCACAAAAAAAATTGTGTAGAAAAAATGAAGTATTAGATCACTATTAAAAATTTTATTGAAAACTGATTTATTATTTTAAAATATAATGAATTCCTACAAAGTATGTGTATGAATTTATTTATTTTTTTTTATAAGTTTAAATAAATTTTTAATTTCAACAATAGTATGTCATTGACTATAAAATTCTGGTCCAACATTGCATGTTCTATTGTGAAAATGTTGTCATTTCCCATGCTGTACAATATGTTTGATGATATTTGGTTTTCTGTATATGTTTGTCCGAGAAAAATAATTTTGTGCTTCTTTAAAAAGGAGTTACTTTCTGGTTTCAAAACTATTCCAATGTACGTGTTCAGGTAGTTGGGGTAAAAATTAATTTTTACTATATGTCCTGAAAAAAAATGCTTTTATTTCTAAGTAGGATGATTTTTTTTTATTACCTAAAACTGAAAAGTTTGGACTGCTGACATAAATATCTGTTTTCTTTAAAAGCTTATTAATTTCTGTTATTTTCCAATAATAAAAGTACAAATCCCCTTCAGTACTTTCAACTATTGTGTCATTATACATTGACATTTCTTCATTCAGTTTTTTAAGAATCTTCTCATTTTTATTATGGGTTACTGTATGCTGTCCATCATCCAAATCATCTAAATACTCTACAAAATCATTTGCAGCCTCCTCATTACTTGTAAAAGATTTTTTTGAAAATTCCAGCTTTTTATATTTATGTGATTGCACTATTCCCAAAGCCGATTTGATAGCTTCAAGTTCAAAAAGAATATTTTGTTGTAACTGAGTAAAATATTTTTTAAGATCACCTAAAAAGTACATAGTATATATCCTTACAAAGCCTACATTTATATTATTACTTGAGGAACATACACCTTTTAACTTTCTTGTAACAGTTGCTTTAGCAGAAGCCTCAATATCTTTAGTAAAAACATTACATGTAGCATGTTGAGTTTCTTCAGGTACTTTAAAATATATAAAATTAGTATGACCTATTAACAATTTAAAGCTACTTACTCTTAAGTGATATACTGCTATAAATTTCAACTAAAACTAAACACAATACTACACAAAGCTTCATATTTGAACCACTGAAATATTCAATTCTGTACTTGTCCCAGATTATCCAAAAATAATTTTAGAGAGACTTAAGAAATCGGAACGACTTAGGCAAGAAAAAAACAGTGATAAATATGTCTTCACTTCAATAACTCTGGTAGAATGTAACGTAAACATTGGTAAATAGTAATATATCTTCTCTATAAAGCCAGGCATTCAAAGATTTAATAAAAAGAACAAAATTATCACAATTTATTAAGAAAAATAGGTACAATTAAAAAGCATACTATCTAATTAAAATAAATTAAATAATAAAGGTAAATTTTGGAATTTTTTTATGTTAATATAAAAAAGGTTTTTTCAGTTAATTTTAATTTAAAGCTCAATTATTTTTTGTTTATATCAAATCTGTTTTATAATTCCTCATTTAAATCATAATCTTCTTCTGGGAATTCTCCAATCAGGACACAAGAAGGTTTAACAAATGCACCATACTTATCAGGGCATTGAAAGTATCTTTTTCCTTTAATGCTGTAAACGAATATAAAATTTTTATAAAGAAATCAGCTAAATTATGCATTGCTACCTTCCATCATGTTTTCCAACAGGTTCATCATATTTAATACCTATCCAAGAACCAGTTAAACCATCAATTCCACCACTGTACATTATAGTGCCTAATCTTGTTGGTGCATTTGATACAGTAACTTTACATCTTGAACCCACTTTCATATTCTCTGCCTGTGATTTTTCCTCTGATTCTTGTTGTTCTTTCTTCTTAACATATTCTTCATTGTATTTACCTAAATAAGAATAGTATATAAATGCAAAAATATAAAAATTATGCCAAAACATACCCATTTTATTCTTCATTAGGAATGTTTTAACTGAATCTCCTCGTTTAGAATATTCCTCTTCTGATAATTCAAATTTAGGGACGTTTGCCGAATCGAACTCTGATCTGAGTTGGAAATCATCGATAACGTGTAATCTCATTCCATCATCGATGGGGTAAAAACCTAAGACTTGTTTATTATCGTCTAAACTCGCCACTAATTTATTATCTTTGTTGTACGCCTCTATCCTCATCGTATTGCAATTTCCTCCTGTCATTAATTCTAGTTTTGCCTGTAATAGTAACACATTTTTAATTTGTTAAAAAATTTTAATATCATCCACCTTCAAGTCTGATATGGTTAGGTCTTTCGGAAAACGTTTTTCTCCAAAAGATATGTCATCTTGTGAGGTGGATACTTGCAAATGAAGGAAATCGGAGGTAATTATTTTGATATCGCCCATTATTTGTATGGAAAATCTTTAAAATACTTGAATTTAATTACTTAGTTTTTGTTGACAGTGACTCAGACATAAATTAAAATTGAACTACTAATTTCATACTCCATACTTATTTCCGGAATATGTGCCTAAGTTCATTCATCATATTCTTTTAGTCTTACGGCCTGAGCTGCCAGGGCTATTCTCAAAGCCTCAGAATATGATTGCTGAATCTTCTTAAATGGCAGCTTGTCATTATAGCATTTGGCCAGCACTTTTTGTATGAATGCCGGATATGTCGGGCTATTGAGACCGAAAAAATTGGTAAGAAGAAATTTGAAACTTAACCCGACATTTTCAAGCATTTGCCATTTGGAGATTTTGTGCTTTTTATTTCTCTACGATTTTGTGATTTCGTACGTAATAGAGTAAAGCAATGGAAAATGTTAAGAAAGGCAAGAAAAAAGCAAAAGTTAAGTTATTCGCTAACAAAAAGAAGTCGACTCCCGAGAGTGTCGTTATAGAGAAATTAAAGTCTCAGTATGATTCGGTGTGTATTGTTTATTTTTCGTCTGTTATAAAGCTATAACAGTAAATATTATTTCTAGATTGATATTACTAAATTGTCGAAGTTTACGGACCTTCCTCTTAGCCAGAAAACAATCAAGGGATTGCGAGAATCGAAATATTTTAAGTTAACAGACATTCAGAGGGAAAGTATACCGTTAGCTCTACAGGGCAAAGATATTTTAGGAGCCGCACAAACAGGATCAGGAAAAACTTTAGCTTTCCTCATTCCAATTTTAGAATGTCTATATTGTCAACAATGGACTAGAATAGATGGATTAGGTGCACTTGTTATAACTCCAACCAGAGAGCTGGCCTATCAGATTTTTGAGACCTTGAGAAAGATTGGACGGTACCACGATTTTTCAGCTGGTTTAATTATTGGAGGTAAAGATCTGAAGTTTGAAAGGAAAAGAATGGACCAGTGCAACGTGGTGATTTGCACACCGGGACGGTTACTGCAACACATGGATGAAAATCCTCTATTTGACTGCGTTACAATGAAAATTCTTGTACTAGACGAAGCAGATAGGTGTTTAGATATGGGTTTTAAACAAACTATGAACGCTATTATTGCTAACTTACCACCAAAAAGACAAACTTTATTATTCTCAGCTACTCAAACAAAATCAGTACAAGATTTAGCAAGGTAAGTTTTTTTTTTAAATTTGAAAATATGTATATAATAAATAATATAATAATATAATAAATAATATGTATATTTTTTAGGTTAAGTCTGAAAGACCCATCTTATGTGAGTGTAAATGAAATGACAACTCCAAAGGAACTACAGCAAAGTTATGTTGTTTGTGAACTTCACGATAAACTCTCTGTATTGTGGAGTTTCATTAAAAGTCATTTGAAACAGAAAACTATAATTTTCTTCTCCACTTGTAAGCAAGTTAAATATTTCTTTGAAATATTCTGCAAGTAAGTTATTTATTTTATCACAAGTAACATTTAAATACTATGTGTCATATTATTTCAGACTCAGACCTGGTACTAGTTTAATGGCACTTTATGGTACATTACATCAACTAAGAAGAATGAAAATTTACGAAGATTTCTGTAAAAAGCAATCAGCTGTGCTCTTTGCTACTGATTTAGCCGCCAGAGGTCTGGATTTTCCTGCAGTTCACTGGGTTGTCCAAGCAGACTGTCCGGAAGATGTTGAAACCTACATTCACAGAGTGGGGAGAACGGCTAGATATCACAGAGGGGGTGAAAGCTTACTCCTTCTAATGCCCAGTGAAATAAAAATGGTGGAATATTTGGAAGAGAAAAAACTACCCGTAGAAAAAATAGAGTAAGTTTAATATTGAGATTGTTATAAAAAAAAACTAACAGTACAAAAATTTCAGGATTAATCCAATGAAACTACAGAGTCCGGTAAAGAAAATTCAAATATTTCTTTCTAACAATACGACTCTAAGAGATACGGCTAAAAGAGCGTTCAGTAATTACGCAAAAGCTGTCTATTTTATGAAACAGAAGGATGTGTTTAACGTGGATGCTTTGGATTTCAAGTCGTTTGCTGAAAGTTTGGGCTTGGTTGCACCACCGAGAATAAGGTTTTTAGATAGGATGCACAAAAGAGAACAGACTCAAAATGATTCCGCACTAGACACTGTCAATAACAAATTGTACTTTAAAGATAGCGACGACGAGGAAGAAGAAGATATATCTGAAGATAATAAAACCTCAAAACCCAGTAATAAATCGAAGAATAAAATAAAATCGGCTAATTTCAATCACAGCGATAGTGACAGTGATGATAATTTTATGACAGGCGTTAGCAGTCGCGATCACGAGCTAGGTCCAGCCTTAATTGAGCCCGAAAATGCGCTACAGGCAACACTGGAGTTACCGTCAAGTAAGTTTTTTATTATGGTACATTTGAACTACTCGGTACTAATTTAGTGTTTAATTAGTGTTATGCTAGATTTGAACTACTCACTACTAATTTCTCGTATAATTAGAGGTATAGTACATTTGAACTACTGAGTGCTAATTTCGTGTATAATTAGTGTTATGGTACATTTGAACTACCTAGCACTAATTCATTGTATATTATAGATGTTACTATGGTATATTTGAACTACTCAGAAATAATTTAATAAGTATAGTCTATCCAATAAGCCAGTGAAGGTTTCGACAGACGACATCCAAAAAATGACATGTATGCTATTAGTACTATGGTACCTTTGAACTACTTAGTACTACTTTATTTCGACAGACAACATCCAAAATTGGGGATCGATAACTGTCACTGTCAGGGATATTCCCGTTGGACTACAGCTAGTTAATACTGATTCAGCTACTCAGTATTACTGAGTAGCTCAAATGTACAATTATTGATACATCTGAACTACTTGTACATTTGATCTACTGGGTACTAATTTATTATAGTCTGTCCAACAGTCCGAAAATATTTCAAGAGACCACATTCAAAATTAATGAAAAATAAAATTTGCCTGTGAAAATGACAGACAGCTGTAAATGAAGCTCCCGTTGGATAGACTATATTTAATACTAAGTAGCTGAAATATACCATAGTTGGTACACTTGAACTACTTAGTAATGATTTTTTGCTAGTTAGTATTCTGACACATTTGAGCTACTTGTACTAATTTAAAATGCATATTATAGTTAAACACAACAAACCTGTTACAAAAGCCGACATAGTGAAGCATATAAGAAGAAAGAAGCTCGTAGTAAATAAGAAAATCGTTTTTGGAGAAGATGGGGCGCCTGTGGATAATGACAGCGCAAACTTAGAGCTGGCAAATCAAAACGAAGAATGTTGTGGAATAGGTAAGTTTAAATGAAACAATACCTTTTTCTTTTATGCATTCTAATAATTATTAAATGGTTTTTAGATATTGAGAAATCTAAGTTGGCTATTAGGGAAGCGGATAAGGTTGATAAAAAGAAATTCCAGGAAAAATTGAAAGCCAAACATAAAGAGCAAAAGAGGAAACTGAAAGAAGAGAAAATGAGAGATATGGAACAGTCAGATAGGGATGAGTTTGGAGAAAGCGATGATGAAGGTAAGAAAAATTAGTAACATTGAAAAGAAAAATACAAAAATCGATTATTTTGTGTTAGGTCCAGACGTGTCTTGGCTCCCTGATCCTGACAAAATATACAGAGAAAAACATAATTCTGAAGATGAGGAAACTGTTAAAAGTGATGAGAAGATTGAAGAAATAAAGAAGGAGCAAGTGAAAAAGTATTTTTTTTAAATTTTTATCTATTTTTTTTTCTTACAATTTTTTTTATTTCAGGACAAAGAAAAGGAAGAAGCAAAAAGATCCAGATAAAGATGAAAAAGTCAAAAGTAACAAAAAACGGAAAATTGAAAAATTAAGTGCCAATCTGGATGTTGATGAAACTGAAGAGTTGGCATTGATGTTCCTGAAGGGCGGAAAATAAATTAGATTGTTATAATATATTTTTTCTAATGTAAAGAATTTATTGTTTTATATAGAATTTATATACCAACATGTATGTAATATTATAATAGGATAATTTATTAAAAAAATATCTTAATTATGTACAGTTTTTTATTGAACCCTCAAATCACAGTCTATGGTGCACCAAGGAAAAAATACTTTAATCTTAAATTATTTTAAGTAAACCTACAACTCTTCTTTTGTATTACTTTCATTTGTATTAGTCACATCGACCCAATCTTTTGGATTTCTTAATACTTCTAATAAAATGCCTTCAGGTGATTCTGAAGATGGTTCATGCATATATTCCCATTTCTGAAAACAATAAATTTATACCTTTAAAACTACTGAACATAGCTCTTTATCAGCCAACTCTACTTAAGACAACAGCCTTGTAAAGAGACCATTAATATTCATGTTTCAAAGTAATTGAACAGAAAGTCTAAAATGCAGATTAGTGAGTTGAGATTTCTTGCAGATTTAACATTCATCTTTGTATTAATGCTATGCAAATGTATGGAAACGTTTTCATTAGAAAAGGGGTTCTTTGAGACATTGTACAAATGAACTATTCCTATTTTACTTACCGCATAGAGAGGCAACGACATTAAAATGCTCTCATACCGAGCTCCTGGTGTGTACAAACCAAATTTCGTTCCTCTGTCGTAAATTAGATTGAATTCGACATATCTACCCCGCCTTAAAAGTTGCCATTCTCGTTCCACTTTCGTATAGTTCGCTATTTTGTGTCTTTGAACTACAATAAAAAAATAGTTAACGTGTCGATATGAAAACATCAAAACTACTTTCCAAAACTGACAAATTTAACTGATGTCAATTTTAAATACTAAATTTAGGCGCGAATATTTTTGAAAACAAGCATAGATAAAGGAAACAAGTTTAGATTGGAATGCTTGTTTTGGAGCGCATACGTTTTAGGGCGCTGCTGTAGCGGTTGCTAAGAACAACCGCAAACAAGAAAAGAAATAATTTTCTTTTGTCAAAGTCAGAAGCTTCAAAAATTATAGAATCTTTCAAAATTTAAACCGCTCTCATTGAAAAAATACTGAAAAGTGTTTAAAGCGTCCATTTTCAAAGTAATTATTGTTATTTTGTGAGTTTAATTTAAATTTTATTTATTCAACTGCGTGATAATTGTGAAAAAGTGGCGTTAAAAACTTAAAAAGCTGTGTGAACTGCAAAAACCATCGTGGATAATAACGTCGCAGATTGGTTTCGGCAATGAAAAAAAAAACAAAAAAGAGGATGTTAAATCGGGTTTAAATTATCCTATCTTACATCGAGTTAGTTCAAAGACAATATAATAATATTATTTTTTTAATTTAATTACTAGTTTTGAATTTACAACACCTCCTTTTTGACAATTTTCTTAATATACGAAACGCGCAAAAATAAAGCGAAAACAAGTAATATTTTACAGCCCTTCTTTTAATTCCTAAAAATCGGTATTACCCAGGAACTGTTTCGTTTATCTATGGGCATTAGAAGTAAAAATCATTTTGCCAAAATATACCGTCCCTTTGAGGCAGTTTAGTTCGAATCTATTTCTAATAAAATTACTTTACTTCTTACTTTAATCAGACTAGAACAAAAAAGCTTTACCGAGCTTTGGTCTCGGATTAATTTGACTAAAAAAAGCAACTGTTAAAGTAGTGATTCTATAAATTTTATAGCCACATTCGGCCGTTTGTTAAAAATTTAAAATAAAAGAAGAACAGTGTGGAAAAAAAAATGAAAACTACATTCTTCATTTTTGCGGATGCCGATGAATTCATTTAATATAATTTACTTTTTTTGCCACTTAAAATTATATAAATATCATTATATTGAATAAGATTTAAACGTTATAAATTATAATAATTTGAACCACAGTGTAACTAAATTGAGCATCAATTGAAGCGTAAAGTGCAAATTTTTGCATTAAGTTTAACTTCTTGTATTTTTTAAACTTTTGAAGGAATTTTGAATTTGCCAGCCAGATTCTAAAACATTGTTTTATCGACTATCGAACCGTTCTTTGTAGTTTTTTTCAATTATTGGTCAGGACCCATAATACAGGGTAAAACAAAAATGCGCGCATTTTTAACAAAATTTTAAGCGAGCCTCATTTTGTGGAGGGATGGAGGAGATCCATTTTTTGTGGGTAGTTTGAAGGAGGTGTTTTATACCTCGGGGCGTTTATGAGTTTTTTTGGCTATAACTCTCCATTGCGATGTTTTCGATATTCTTATGATTGTCGGTAGAGTTTTAATACTAATATATAGATAGAAGATATCGTATTTTTAAGCATTATGCATTTTAATGTATAATTAAATAAAGCAAAAAAATAATTTTATAAAACTAAAAAGTGTTACAGTTATACAGGGCGTTAAAAATTTATCTAGCTGGTATATTTAAATTATATGAACAGGTTATATTATGTATCTTGGCATAACAAAAGAAGCATTTAACACTTTTTCATTAACGATACAGTATAATCACTTAGTATAATCATTAGTTAATACGCATAATACTCAAAATTACAATATATTAATTTCATAATGAGATAAATTTTTTAGAATTAAAACCTTACTGAAAATCATAAAAAAGGAAAACATCGCAATGGAGAGCGATACCCCAAAAAAACTCAAAAACGTCCCAAGGTATAAAACAGCTCTTTTAAAATACCCACATAATGGAAATCCTACATCCCCCCACAAAATGGAGGTCACTTAAAATTTTGTAAAAAATGCACGCATTTTTGTTTTACCCTGTATTAAGAGTATTGGCCGATAATTAAATAAACTGCAAAGTTCGACAGTCGATAAAAAGCGTTTCAGAATCTGGCTAGCAATTCAAAACGCCTTCAATAGTTCAGAAAATACAAGAAGTTCAAACTGATGCAAAAATTTTCACTTTACGTTTCAATTGGTGCTCAGTTTACTTTTAAATAAATTTATTAAACCATGTTATTTGATGTAGTTTATTAAGCTGAATCGAATAAAATCCGTCCCAATGCGATTGGATTAACGGTTTAGGAAATATAGGGTTTTTTCGTTATATTATCAGTTTCACGCCACTGTGCGTCGGTTTCCAATGTTTCATAGGTATTTCATATATGTCCTTATATAAAATAAAGTTTCTTAGATGCAAAAAACACTGTATTTTGTTTAAAAAATTAAAAGAAAATAATAATAAATTTGAATAATATTTGGCGACATAATTCCGGAAAAACCCGAACCGCTGCGAAATTATCAAAAGCTTTGGAGAGCGACCGTTGTAAGAATAGCGCCAAATAGTATTGTACTTTCCAATCTAAACTTGTTTCTTTTTTTCTATGAAAACAAGTAATATTCATTACCTAAAGGTACATATGAAGGCAGTACCGCATTGGCACAGTCAGTAACGAAGCTAAAACACTTCTCTTGATCTGGTGTGTCTAAATCATCGAAAAATATACCCCCAACACCTCTTCTTTCACCTCTGTGTACTACATGGAAGTAATCGTCACACCATTTCTTGAACTTGGGATAGTAAGTTTTGTCATGTTTATCGCAAGCTTGTTTAAGCGTGTTGTGGAAATGTATACAGTCCGCTGTGTTGAGATAATACGGCGTCAAGTCTGTACCGCCTCCGAACCACCACTGTGTCTCATTACCGTTTTGTACCTTTCATCAAATTATATTAGGTTAAAAATATTTTATAAGAATATTAGAAATACCTCAAAATATCGGTAGTTAAAATGTATTGTAGGTACCATGGGATTTACTGGGTGTATTACGGCACTGATACCTGCTGCATAGAAGGGTAATTTACCATCTTGTAGATTTTTACCTCGGGAACGCATTTGGGTGACTGCGCTTGGTGGGAGATGCCCTTCTACCACGGAAATATTTACACCAGCTTTTTCAAAAACCTAAAGCAATATTTTTTATGTTAACACCTAAAGCAATATACAGAGTGGCGCCTCTAATACGCCTCAGAAGCTCCAAGGAAAATGGTAGTTTATGTCGAAATGAAATTTTTACAGCATATGTAGGTTAACTGAAAGCATTTTTTCTAATGGAACACCCTATATATTAATTAATTTTCGGATTCTAGGAAAAAAAAGGTGAGTTTTATTAAAGAAGCATATACTTAAAATCTAAGGATTTTGACATATTTCACATTTTGCGAAAATGAAGAGTAAATTTTAAATTTCGATTAACAGCTACCTAAATTTTATTTGACTTTGTATAGCCTGATATTTAATTACAGTAACCATTGTATGTTCAACCAAATTGAAATTTGACCCGAAAAGTTATACAGGGTGAGACAAAATTAATATGAAACATTAGTCACTTTTAAAATCAAGTTACTCCTTTATTTTAAATGGAACACCCAGTATATTTTTTCGGTGTTCAATGGGGAATTTATATATCTTCAAAATATTATTAAGGTTGCCTATCCCTCAGACAGGTTTTCCTAGATATTTTAATTTTTATGATTTTGCGTAAGTAGACCTTTATTATCTGAAAAAATCTAGGCGGCTGTGTGATATACCTTTTGTTAATTTAACAAAAATTAAAGATTGTATGGCAAAATACTCAACGGTAATAAAAAGATACACGTTTAGAACATAATTTAATTATTACAGAATTAAAACTAGATATAAACCTATAATTATGTGACAAAAATTAGCTAGATGAAATAAAATACTCAAAATGCTTCCTTTCCTATTAACTGCATAAAATGATTGTCTTCTCAAAAGGATCTTTTCATTTTAAAAGGGATAGGTGGAGTTCTACCTCGAAAAGCAGCTACACTAATTTCTCTCATGTTGTCGACAATAGTTGGTCGAGTTTTGTAAACACGGTCTTTAACATATCCCCATAAAAAAAACCAGACTACATAAAATCAGGAGCATTTATTTGTATTCTATTAATTGGTGATTGGTGAAGTAAAATACTTTTGAAAGTGACCAATGTTCAATATTAATTTTGTCTCACCCTGTATAACTTTTTGGATCAAGTTTTAATTTGATTTAAAGTAAAATAGTTAATTTAACTACATGTTAGGTTATACCGGGTAAATTCCAATATAAGCAGCTTTTATTGTAATTTAAGAATTGTTCTTTATTTTTAGAAAATATTAAATATGTCAAAAACCTTACCTTAGCCTTGTATATGAATTTTTAAAGTAGCTCAACCTAAGACGTTTATGGATGTAAAGCACCAGATGGCGGGGCGTATTTCACAGTCTTTTACTGTCACTACAGAAAAATATTTTTTGTTACTCTGAATTTTGAAGCGACCAATAAAAACAGAGAAAATAAAAATCGATAATTTTCGGACCGTGCCAATTGGCTACTAATCGACCAGATACTTTTTGTCTATTAGATATGCTATAAAAGCTGGTAATTATACAATTCGATCATTGTAAATACCCGACAAATTCCACAAGGCCGACGAGGCCGATGCTTTTCACTGATACGAAAAAAAAAATGTTTGTTTAGATAATTTTCGAGAAATTTTTTCTTTCTGAATGCACATTTTTAAAGTATTTTATATTCTTTGTCCGCTTGATCTATTTATACTGGTCGCTCGTATCGAAGTTCTGTTTCTTCTAGTTTTAGAAAATGTTCTTATTTCTTTATAGTTGTAGTGGTTGTAGTGTAAAATTAGATTAATTTTATTAAGTTTAATTATAATGTTTAGTGTAGAATACCAGAAATAGTTTAGTAGTGTTTTTATAGTTTATTTATTTTGTAGTTAAGTAGTAGGTGAAGGGATAATTTGGTTATTTTTTCATTTTGTATGATTAATTAGTAAGTTTATAATTTTTTCAGTGTAAAATACAAGAAGTAGTTGTGTAGTGTTTTTATAAGAGATTATATTCGTTTATTTTGTAGATGTGTAGTAGGTGAAGGTATTTGGGTATTTTTTCTTTTTGTTTTTCTTCTAATTATAGTAATTCTATTAAGTATTGTGATAGATACGCTATATATTCCTTCAACTTCGTTGAAAAGTGCGTTATCATATAATTTTGGTTTTCTGGTAGTAGAATATACGAAAAAAAATCTGATCAAATTTATTTTAAATTAAATTAATCGAGTATTATTAATCAAATTAATCTAGTCAAATAAAAATAATAGTTAGTTTCTAAATACTATACAGGATGAGTTTCCCACGATGTTCTCTATGGGTATCTCGGAAACTACTGGAGATAGAGAGTCGGTTAAATGGGGAAAGAATTGCAGTTTTGTGGGGTCATAAATATGCGCCTTTCGGATTTTTCGGAGAAGTTCAAGGCTTACTAGATATTTCGAAAAACACAAATTTTGGCTATTTTAAAACTTGTCTCTAATTCCATTATAATCTATCGTATGATCGAATAAAAACGGCGTCAACGATGGCTATGAAATGAATATCATCGATCGTCATTTCATAGCCATCGCTGACGCCGTTTTTATTCGATCATATGGTATTTTAGACAAAAAGTTTTCAGATAAAAGTTGTAGATAATCACATACCTAATGAGTTTGTGTTTTCTGTTTTTTTTCTAAAGCCTGTCATTTTTGACATATGACACAAACATTATGTTTTTTTTTAAATGGAAATCCTAGTTGGCCATGACTTAATAAAAAGCGCCATTCTTTAAGTTTTTCAGCGATATAGGTATAATATGTTTTTTTTTCGAAAAATTACAAGTTATAGCCAATTCTTTTCTTTCTTGGCTAATTCCCATACCAATAATACCATGCCAATTAGTTGGCATCAAAAATGTAAAAAGTTTTATGTTTTCAAAAAAAAATATCGTAAAATTCGTAAAGCACTCAATTTAGAATAAAATAATCTAAGAATGAAATTATTCTTTTATAAACCTGCATTAAATCAAATTAAAATAGGTATGTAACTTTTTTTTTAAATATTAATTAACAGCAATTAGCATTATCATAAATTATAAATAATGTACCAACATATCGAAATAATAATTTCTTTGTTAATACGGTTTAGAATTCTTAAAATAACAGGCAAAAATAATCCACAATTTACAATAAAATAAAAGTTTCGTTTAAATTTCTTAATCAGCTGATCATTATTAAAGTTCGCAGAAACCCGGGGCTATATTATTACATTACTCTGAGGAAAATAACGAAAATAATCGATATTTTTGACTCCGCCCCGAAAGGTTCACGATTTGTCCTCCAGTTGGCAGCACATTTCGTCTAGTCGGTTGAACAACTTTAAGAATATATAAACAAGGATTTTAGTCATATACTTCTCTTATAAAACTCCCTTTATTTTTCTCCCAGAATCCGAAAATCAATTAATATAGGGTGTTCCATTACAAAAAACACAACTTTGATATGTAACTTTTTTTGGGGACACCCTGTAGAACTCTCCATATTTTTAAAAAGTGCTCTGAATTAACTTACATATGCTTACAAAATTTCATTTCAATACAAACTGTCGTTCTCCTTGGAATCTCCGCGGCATATGAGGGGCGCCACCCTGTATATCAAATTAAATAAAACTATTAACAAGAAAGGGCAGGTGTGATATATTTTTGAAATTAGAAAGAACTGTCCTAGGTACCATATGGGTGTCCCATTTAAACAATTGTAGGTACTTTATACCAATATTTGTAACATTTGACAGCTTATATGAGATTTTTGATAGGTAATAAACCTTTTATAAAAATCCATTTTCAAAATAATACCATAATTTCATTTTTTAATCAACGTTCTTTCGCCAAAAACAAAAAAAGTTATATTCAGTTAAAAGAAAGACAACATAAAATGAAAGCACTGTAAGTAGATGTTACCTTTCCATTTTGCATTACGCAAGTGACACCACCTCCTCCTTCTTTCCTTGTCCACCGATCCACCTTAAACTTGCCTCCATCCTCAGTTTCCAGGGCCTTGCAAACGTCACTTTGTACTTTCATAATCATCAGTTCCATCTTCGTTTTCATATCGTCCGGTGTGTTGGCCAGTTTTTCCAATGAAGTGATAGGAATAGCCATAAAGCCTGTTGTGTCAACAGGTTGTTTGGTGGAGAACAAGGCAAGACCAGCGGTGAATACGGCACCATATTTTCTATATAGAAAGTAAATTATACCGGGCTATGTATAAAATTACACTATTTCATGAAACCAAGCAAAAACATTAGATTTTTAAAAGAAATAGAGATTAAGATTTAATTTTTAAAGTATGATGCCTATTGCGGGTTTTGATACAGCAAGGTAAATAATATATGTTGACTAAATAGTTATTAGAAATCATAAATTTGAAATGTTTTTGTGCTAAAAAGTAGGAAAAAGGAATATTTTTTTAATATTATTTATGTAACAAACTTATTTTTCAGTAAACAAACGACTTTTAAATACTTATAACCGTTCCTACACCAAGTTAGAGGTGAATTTATTAATGAAATAGGTCCAAATAATACAAATTATTCAATAACATACCTTAATTTCCCAAATTCTCGCCTCTTCTGGCAATAAACCAAAGTAACGCTCCTTATAAACACGTTAAGTACCATTTTGAACGGTTAATAAAGGTACCTGCTAACTAAAAAATGTTTAAATTTCGTTCATGACAACGTAAAAAATTCAGAACCTGTGTAATTATTTTTCATAAACTGTAATCTGGCAGGAAACCTCTTGAAACAGCTGATTAGATTAGAGGTTATGTTACGTTGAAAGAATCGCGCAATAATATAATCGATACTACGTAGCGCCGATTATTGATTTTCCTCGTTTCATCCGTGTTTTAAAAAGAAAAGAAGAATCGTGAGCATTTCCGAAATCGAGTGCGATTGAAAAAAATTAAACTTCATAATTACCAGACACATTTGGATGGAATTTGCTTAGTTGGCGTTGTGTATTATTTATGTTTTTTTTTGACAATTGATACAGAAAAAATGACATTTTTTTTCGCTGTTGTTAGTGAAAAACTAAGCGAGAATTTATTCTAAAATATACTTAATTTATTTGAAACTGAAAACTACTACAAAAAACAGCTGATTTTCGGTGTGCGCGAAATTAGCACAACCCGACGTCCTTGTTCGATTACCGCGAGCTAAACAAAGAACGCCTTATTGCAGGTGCGGGTCAACGATATACGGAATGCGCCAAAAAACGCAACATGTGTGCTTGTGCGTGTGTTGCCAAACGAGCGAGCAATCCATATCGATTTTGTTACGTTTTTTATCCTGGAAAATCGTTTTTCCCGAATTTTTCCCCGAGATTTTTACGCGAAATGATCGCGTCGTGAGCGTACCCATCCCAGCGCAGGCATAGTTCGTATCCAGAGCAAATCAAAGACATACGCGGGCGAAACGGGGGTTTTCTTCGTGAACGGGGGTGGCAGGGACGTAGGTCGCGGATTAAACCTCTAGCGTATTTCGCTGTATCCCGGATTTTCCGAGTTTCCTCCGGCGAGGCTTACTGTAAGTCGGGAAAGCGTCCGATCCAGGTCGGATACTCCCCAAAAGTCATTGTTTCCGACGTTCGTTTTGTGAATTCTATTATTGTTTAATCAGGAAAATGGCGAGTTCTGGTCGGGATTTAGATTCACGGGTTCGTTTCTAATACTAACGTAAATAATGGAGGCTTCGCAGCTTCCCAGACGCATTTGACTGACGATCGAAGGACTTCGAGACCATGAAAAAGTTCACGTTCAAGGGGGTGCTGGACAATTTTCGAAACTCGGTGGTGCAGCCCCAAACGCGGCCAGATCAGGAAATCCAGGAAGCGCTGAAACCAGAACATTTTCAAGTTAAGAGGGTAAGTTTTTTTTTTATTAAAAAACGTAAATAAACAATTTTTTTTTCAAACGTCACAAAAGTATCATTTTTTGCGACGTGACTCACAATATAAAAAACGCCTAATAGTATATTTGTTTTATTAGGAGTAAAAATGACATGCTTGAGGCACAAAAACTCATTTTTACTCCGAATAGAACATGCTATTTTTTTTTCAAACGCCACAAATATTTTTTAAACAATTTTAAACGTTCCAAATAATATAAAAAGATTTAAAAGTAATACCTTGTATCTTGTATGTTATTATACAAGGTGTTCCGAACTGTATTCCGGAAACTTTGGCAGCATATTCTACAGATAAAAATAAGTAAAAAAGTTCGTATAAATGTATGTCCGAAAATGCTTAGTTTCGGAGATACAGGGTGTAGAAGTTACATATTTATTTCGATTTTTTCCAAATAATTTCCGAAGTAACGTCAATTTTTGGATGAAAACTCGTGTCTGCGAGTTTTTTGATATGAGAAATTTGATTTTGATGACAATATGACTCCACCTACATGGGCTTTAACTGTTTTAAAGATTAATAACTCTTTGTCCGTACCTGTATAAAACTACTAAGTGAAAAAATATACATTTCCGTGATTTTTTACGTAAAAAACGTCGCAAATGTATATTTTTTCACTCAGTAGTTGTATACAGGTACGGACGAAAAGTTATTACACTTCAAAACAGTTAAAACACATGTAAGTGGCGCCCTCTACAAGTAGAAGTCATATTGACATCAAAATCAAATTTCTCATGTCAAAAAACTCCCAGATACTTACCAATTTTCATCCAAATATTGACGTTACTTCAGAAATTATTTGGAAAAAATCGAAATAAAAATTGAAATTTCTACACCCTGTATCTCCGAAACTAAGCATTTTAGGACGTACATTTATACGAACTTTTTTACTTATTTTTATTTGCAGAATGTGCTGCCAAAGTTTCCGGAATACAGTTCGGACCACCCTGTATATCGAGAAACTATGGTTAGGCTCGTTGAATTTGACACTTTATGTCAGTTTAATACAGGGTTGGCAAATATCATGATATTTATATAAATATCAAATATCGGATATATATCCGATATATATCAAGTTTTGATATTTAATTTTGTTTTTATTTTTTATATTAAACTGTGTTTAGTAGTATCAAGTAATATCAAGAGCTCAAGCAAATATTTTTATTTCAACTTAATTATTGTTGCTTTGCACATAATAGGAACAACATTAAAACAAAAATATATAAGAAATATACAGAAATTCTAAAAAAATAAACAGAACTTCTAAAAAATAAACAGGAATTCTAAATAAACAGAAATTCTAAAAAACAAACGGAAATTCTAAAAAATAATCAGGAATTCTAAGAAAAAAACGGAAATTCAAAAAATGAACAGATACGTATTCTAAATCTAACAACAAACAAATTTATATTTGATTTATTCATTTTATTAATGGTAAATCATCGTCAGATTCTCGTCAGAGTAAGAACCAATTGATACTGTTTCTGGCAAAGTTTTTTGTACATTTGAATTGTCCCAGTTTTGCAGCTTTTTCGTTCCATGTTGACTTTTTTAACGTAGAAATTTAAGAAAAGAGTTTTATTTTTATATAAATATCATGATATACAGGGTGTTTCAAAATAAATGCGAAAAACTTCAGGGGGTGATTCCTTGTTCAAAATAAAGGGTAGTTTGCTTTATAAACGTTGGGTCAAAAGTCAACCATTAGGGAGATATCGCGGTACAAAGATGGCGGAAAAATAATGTTTTTATTTTTTATCTTGAAAACGAAAAGAGATAGACTAATGAAATTTTACGGAAGCATTACTGTTATGAAAACACACTTTCTGGTAATTTTTTCACTTTTTTAAAATGAGTGGAAGGGGTTGAAATAAACTACCCCTATCATTCTTGTTAATGAAATTTAAAGAAAAATCTTATCAAACACACGCAAAAAAAAATATTTTTGATAGTTTAGTTTATTTAGAAACTTTTTTATCTCTTGTGTTTTTTGATAAAACTCACCGATTTGAAATTAAAAAATAAAATGTAAAGCATTACATGTCAGGACAAAAAACATTTTTAGATAAAGAATCTAGTGGGCAGCTGTAATTTTTTAGGAAAAAATCTAGTCGGCCGCTGTCACTTTTTAGGATGTTTCTAATATTGTTTTATTTGACATTACCCTACTGCAATACGTTATTATCTAGATTATTATTATTATCATTATTATCACTAGATTCTTAATCTAAAAATATTTTTAGTCCTGACATGTAATGCTTTACATTTTATTTTTAATTTCAAATCGGTGAGTTTTATAAAAAAATACAAGAGATAAAAAGTTTCTAAACAAACTAAACTATCCAAATTAATTTTTTTGCATGTGTTTGATAAGATTTTTCTTTAAATTTCGTTAACAAGAATGATAGGGGTAGTTTATTTCAACCCCTTTCACTCATTTTAAAAAAGTGAAAAAATTACCAGAAAGTGTGTTTTCATAACAGTAATGCTTCCATAAAATTTCATTAGTCTATTTCTTTTCATTTTCAAGATAAAAAATAAGAACATTATTTTTCCGCCATCTTTGTACCGCGATATCTCCCTAATGGTTGACTTTTGACCCAACGTTTATGAAGCAAACTACCCTTTATTTTGAACAAGGAATCACCCCCTGACGTTTTTCGCATTTGTTTTGAAACACCCTGTATATCAATGATATGTATATCCATATATATATATCACTGATATACATATATCATGCCAACCCTGGTTTAATATCTCTTCGTATAAATACCGTAAATTCATACTTTTGTGACATTTGAAAAATAAAATAAAATGTTCTATTCGGAGTAAAAATGTAGGTACTTTTAGTGCCTTCCCTGTAACGTACAGCCTCGTCACAAAAATTATAATTTTTACTCCTAATAAAACAATATTCTAAAGACACATTTTAATAGTATGTGTTTAATTAAAAAACTGGCGATATTTGCTTAATAATAATAATAATACAGCGGTGATAGATAAAAATAGAGAGGGCTTGTTATCATTTCGTATTTCGTATATATTTTGCAATGCTAACTAGGTATCGTCAGCCTTATCAAGCGTCGTGTTTTCACTATATTTTCGCATATATTTTGCCGCTCTTCGCTTTCAAGGAAAATCAATATCAAAATTATACCACTAGGTATACCATCGAACTAAACTGTGACTATACCGGTACTTTTACGAATTTGCATTATTTGCCCTTATTATATTTTAAATTCGTTTGCCCCTTGTAGGTATTTGTTCATAAGGAATAATATAGGGTGCTCTGAATCAAGTTCCATTTTTATTTCGATTTTTGCCAAATAATTTCTGAAGTAACGTCAATATTTGGATGAAAATTGGTGTCTGGGAGTTTTTTGACATGAGAAATTTGATTTTGACGTCAATATGACTCCTACTTATACAGGGCGCCACCAACATATTTTTTAGCTGTTTTAAAGTGTAAAAACTTTTTGCCTGTACCTGTAGTACTCTAATTAGTGAAAAAATATACATTTCCGTCATTTTTTGCGTAAAAAAGGTCTCTTGGTAAAGATCGCTACGAGTAATAGTTCTCGAGATAGTTGGAATCGAAATAGTCATAACTGAGACAAATTATACATGTAGGTATATGTTGACTGGACAGAAATATTTTTGTGACAAAGATTCAACAGTTTTATCGTAATTTTTTCTAGAAAAATTCATGAATAGCTTAAAAAAGTAAAAAGTTGTCAAATTTGTCATTTCAGTCATAGGTACCGTGCTGGCAACTGTTACTTTTGGGTCGGCATTTACATGTGTGGAAGTAAATCGCATAGGGATCTTATTAAGTCGGAGTGAGAGAAATGCGACCGACCGACGCGACGCGCGACGCCGACTTGAAATGTGTAGAAACCAGACTAACAATCAGCTTTATAGGCATTTTAACCAATGAGAAACATGCTGACTAGTCAGGGATTCTTCTAAGAACAGTCCTAAATCTGCTATATCCCCTTCCACGTCTCTTAGCGATGTGCACAGTTTCTCGGTTTATTTCATACGTTTGGCAACGTGTTTACTGTCCTCTCTTTGTTCAGTACATTATAAACGCCATTGTACTCTTCTTACATACGGAAATCTCGACCCAAGACTAACCTTTGCCAGCCCTTAGTATAAGTAATCTAGTCAACACGTTTATTTTTTGTCAATAATGACATATGACAATGTATTGACTATTTCTACTCCAAATATCTTGAAAACGGTTGCGAGTAGCGATTTTTACCAAGATACCTTTTTTACATAAAACAATACGGAAATGTATATTTTTTTACTCAACAGTTTTATACAGGTACGGACGAAAAGTTATTACTCTTTAAAACAGTTAAAATACAAGTAGGTGGCGCCCCCTACAAGTAGGAGTCGTATATGGACATCGAAATCGAATTTCTCATGTCAAGAAAGACCCAGACACTACTTTTCACCCAAATATCTGCCTTATTTCAGAAATTATACAGAAAAAAATGAAATAAAAATGAAACTTCTACACCCTGTATCTCTGAAATGAAGCATTTTAAGACATACATTTGTACGAACTTTTTTACTTATTTTTATCTGCAGATTATGCTTGGAAGTTTGTAATAGAAAAAATAAAGCGTAATAGTAATATAGAGCGCTTTTTTGAAACATCGAGCCACCCTGTATATAACTATCGATTTTTATTGATTTAACAAACACCAGTTAAATACCTGCGAAAATGCAGTTTACGCACACAGTGTGATATGCAGCAGATCTGTTTTTTTGTCAATGTAGAAAGGTCAAGTAGGTACATAATATTATTGACTTACTTATTGAATCGATGAGGTCACGACTGCGACGGCTGCTGAATCAAAAATCAAGTCGTCTATGACGAGGTACCTAGTTCTAGGCGCATCATCGGCCTCTCACTGTTTTATATATTTACATTTAATTTGTTCTCC